TGTAAACTTGCCTGCTAACATCCTTAGGGTGGTTTCTGAGAGGTAATGGGTCCTGCCAAGTTAATTGCCAGGAAAAGGGGAGTCCTGCAGGGCAGCAGGTGACTGCACACTGCAGTGTCAGCTGTGGCATGTGGGATGTATTCCCTCTGCCCCATTTTCCTGTGAACAGGTCTGGGAATGCCAAATTGCCAAGTGTAATAATTTGCAGATTATTAGGTTGTTAATGAAGAATGAGCTGTGAAGGCAGAGTGTTGATTCACCTTGTGGTATAGATCCTGCTAGGATCTTCTTCCCAGCATCATTCAGATGGGAAGAGTGCTAAAGAACAGCTCCCGGCTTGTTCAAGCCTCTGCTCTTGCCTTTCCTGGGATCAGGGACACAGGGAATGAGTTGGTGGCACTGGAATATGCTGACTCTGAGACAGGGCTGTAACTCCTGGATGGAGATTTAGAGCATCAATCTGGGCACATCCAGAAGAGGCAATCACTCAGTTGAAGCAAAATTAATTGGTGATTTATAGAACCTTACAAAACTGAGACCCTGTCAAAATAGGCTCTGTGCAGAATGATAAATAGGAGGAGGCTGTTGTATTTTTTATTATTTTAAGTAACCAATGAATTAATTAAAATTATACTTAATATCCTTTAGCTGTAATAATATCCTTTGAAGTACCCCATATCACTACTGCTGGGAGTGGGTTTTGCAGTCAAAAGTCATTTCACACATATCATTTAAAAAACATATCATTTAAGTTAAAAAACTTAGACCAGCTGAGGTTGCTTCTTCTTTGTCTCTGTGTGGCAACAGCAGTGCTTTTTTGTTTTCAATTAATATTGCAAATCTAAAGTAGGCACTGATTCCAGACCCTTAAAAGGTACATGGACTGTGACACAGAGAGATGTTCAGTATATCAATATTAACATAATATCCAGATTCTGTGATCTGGAAATATTTCACAACCAGAAAAACAGAACACCTTGAGGTGAGGGAGATCCAGGTCAGGAAAAGTAGCATGAGATGGCATTTTACAGGAGATTAACCAGCTGTTGTTTTCACATGAAAGAGCTGAATTAATCAGTATCTGAGTGGCTCTGTAACTCTGACAGCTATCACATATAGAACAGCTTAGGGGTAAATAGACAGAAAATAAGAATTTTTTTTTTAAAAAATGGGGCCTTATCTACTAAAGTTATGTAAACAATGGAAATTTTTCGTTCTTCTGGAAGAGCTAATGAGAGCATTTCTTAAAAACTGCTGTAAGCCTCAAGTGCCTGGAGATATGCATATTGAGTTTTTACCCCTTCCCTCCCATCTGCCAGCTGCTCTGCTGTCATATTTTTTTTCCCTCCTCCAGCAAAACACAGAGCTGGGGAAACCACAAACCCTGAATTGTGTCACTGCACAGAAGAAGATTGATGGGGAGGTTAATAAGTTGGCTGTGCAATTATGACTCTCACCATGTACCACTGACGATGGTTAATGTGGTTATTTCCCGCTCCTCTGATTATTTTTTTGCCTGTTTGTCAAGTCAGCCGTGGGCCCAGGTTCTGCTCCACAGGGGGCAGCCCCAGGAAACTTGTCTATCAGGCACTTTGCTGTGCTGGGTGTTTGTATAAACTCCTTGACTCCCAGTGCACTTAGGAAAGACAACTGAAATTCTGCTAATGAGAAAAGGATTAGATTTATTTTTTTTTTTTTTATTGCTATGCTTTTCCAAATGTGAAAACAGCTGTGAAATAATCAGAAATGGATTAGAGCTGAGGACAGTGAGTGTTTTTTTCCTCCTGTGTTTAAAAGATATTTTTTGAATTGCTTTTTTTGGTTAGCACACAGTTCTAAGTGATATCACACCTATCACCTTGTTCTCAGTAAACTCAGTGATTTGAGTGTTAATGGGAGCCAAGGGTAGATACCTTGACTGGTATCCATACCTAACTGTGAATGTCTAAATATACATTATAAAAATTGGTCAATGGCATAAATTAATTAACATAAAAACTCCTTCACTGCCCTTCAAGCAAACACTCTTGCTACAGATATAACTTTTTGCTAGAATATAGTCATGATGGTTACAAAAATGCACTTGGACCACTACAATGTAGTGATTTTGGTACAGAACTGTTGTTGAGATTGTCAATATTCCATCTGCTTTAATGATTGAGTACTTCAAAGCATAAGCTGCCCTTGATGCAGTTGATTGTATGTTGCTTTTTGGAGAAGAAAGCTTTGGGTTTCAGCCTGTTTATTTAGAAATCATTTAAGAGCCCCTGACATGGAGCTTGTTGGAAGAACTGAGACACAAATTTCTGAGGAAGCAGCTTGCTACTGTTTCTGTGTAGAGCACTTTTATAAAAAGAAATAAGGTGACATCAAAGAGAATATTCAAATTTTTCCAAGGCTTTCTTCTCCTGAAAGGGAAAAATCTATGAAAGTTCTCAATATTTGCTAGCTGCTTTGGCTGAAGTGTTATGGTATCAAGGCAATTTGCTTTTATTAACCCAGGCATCCCTGTTTCAAGGGTTAATTACTAGGTGTTTATAGGTCCTTCTTGTATGAGCAATTTTATCCTTAATGAACAAGAAACCCTGAAGATAGTTGTGAGGGAAAGCTGAATGCACTAATGATACCATAAAGTCATGGAGTGCCACAAGCAGACTGAGACCATAAATAATAGCTGTCCTCCACACAAAACAGGTGCTACAAGAAGAAATAACATTGGTGAACCTGTAAGGTCACCACATATGGAAAAGAACAAACAATGCAGTTGCTGGGGTGACAGATAGCCAGCAAGTGTAGAAAAATAGTCTCATTCAGGGATTTGCTTGCTACAGCAACAAGTGAAATTCCTCACTGAAGAATTGCTTATGGCAATGGGATATTTTAACAGCAATGAGCTGATTTAGCAAACTCTTTATCTGGTCAACACAGACTCAGGCTTCACTAGCCAGTGATTTTTCTTGGGAACACAGTTATGCTAATGCGGATTTTGAGAGGGATAAAAGAGAAAAACATCAATGTCTCTGATAAGAAGCAGGAAATTTGGGCCTGTGCTAAGGAGCAGTGAAGTTGCCCTCATAACTCCAGTCTCCAATCCTGTTATCCAGTTAACACCTTCCACTCACTGCAAATTGTCATTACAGAGGTGGTGAGAATTAGAAAATCAGTTCAGCTGGGCTATTAGCCAGAATTAAATATTTAGAGGGCCAGGAGAACTGAACCCATCCAGCACAGAATAAAAAAAAGCTGTTAAGGAGAGGACAGCTGTTAATTAACTGTTTAAACCAACCAAGGCTTCCTTATTTAGTGCCTGAAATACCACTGTAAACATGAAATTAATTTAAATGCTCCAGATGTCATCACTTCCATGTCTTCATCTCCTACAGTATCAGTCTTGCCTATGTGAGCTGAAGGGTTTGACTTTTCATGTGTGGCATGGAAGTGATATCTGTGGGTACTGAAAGGAGTAATACATTTGGAATGAGAGCTGAGTTACTGGTAGAAACATTACTGGGTATAATATTTCAGGCTGCTCATTGCTTTCTCTCTTCAGACCCACTATTCAGTGATACAACTTTCTGTGGAATTTACTTGTCTTTCTTATTTTCTATTTCAGAATATGGCACTTTACTGATAAAACATTGCCCTACAAACCCCTTCATGGGTCACTTTACAATGAAGCACATTATTTTTTATCTCATTACAATTAAACACTTTCATGTTTTGGTACCTCTTTTGTTAATAAACAATAGTGTCTTATAAAATGTATCAGTCAGGATGTTCTAGCCAAATTGGCCATGTTCTAAAAGTGAGGCTAATCCACTTTAAAGATAGTACTTACTGAAACAAGTCCAGCTCCTTCGAGAACACTTGATGAGAGGTTCATTCATGCAATTTACAGACCAGTGTGAATCATGGCACGAGTGTGTATACAGGCCTGGGCTATATATTTACTCTTTCCAAGGTGAAGTTGATAAGCCAGTCCCCAAAAAGTTAACCTCCTTTGGATGCAGGGCTTGTAGCACTGAGGTGTGCTCCTGTAGCATCTCACTAGGACTGTCAGTATTTAGGATATTCTCAGTCTTGGCTTTCCCTCATCTTGGGGCAACTGAGTGGGAGCTTCTCAGTGAGTTTTGTCTCCTGCTGTACTTCAACATGCACTCATTTTACAGCCTCACAAAACCCTTGTTTTGGTGACAGCTCTGACTGGTGACAGGGTTAGAAGCTCTGGAAAACAACACCAGAGAATCTGAATAGTTTAACTGTACAATTGATTCAGCTGTAGGCTCCAGACATGTCATTCAAGGTGTAACTCTGTTTTCTGTTTGTCTGTGGACCAGTCAAGACATCACAGTGTGTTTAAGCCCTCCAAACAGTATTGATGGAAGTGACAGAGTGCCCACAGGAGAGCCTTGACGTCCTGCCGTGGGTGCAAGAGGTCAACTGGACACCAACATACAATTTATCTACAGTGCAGTCACCCACCTGTGAGGAGGACACCTTAGTCTATTTTAAGAGTGAGCTCAGTGGAATCACTGAGTTTAGGACAAGATTAATCTCTTCTGTCTTCCAGACCCTCATACCTGGGTGGGTGACACACCTTTAAACTCTTCAGCTGTATTTTTCCTGTATTGGAGAAAAGGAGATGAGACAACCACCTTAGATTGTATAAATCTACTTGAAAGCAATTAAAGGTGAGAAGAACCTACTCAACCTCCTTTTGTTTTGCTTTCATCTGAAAAATGTGGACAGTAATTCCTCCTTTTGCCATCATTAGCTGCCTACACAATCCATGTTCTAAATCCCTCCAGTCAGTGGTTTATTCTTGCCCCTTTCTTCAGGTAGATAACCCAGCAGAGTGGTGGCCTACACCGACTGTATCTGGACATTCAGGGGTTAACCACAGCTGGTAAAGGAGAGATGCTGACACCTTTTGTTAAAATATAGGAATTTGAATCTCACCAAAATACCACACCAGTAAAAAATAAAAATCACACGCCTTCTAAAAAAAATTAAACCCTTTTTATTTGTATATTTATTTTTATATATAAAAGAAATACAAAAAACAACCCCACAAACAATGCTGATTATGGTAATTCAGTTTTGTCAGCCCCCTCTGCTTGGGCTGCTGCCTCAGATCCACCGGGAGTGAGCAAAGTCCTCCGGTTGTAATGTCCTTTTATGATTCCAGAGTTATTGTTCTCATTAAGAATTTGTTTCTGTTTTTGCCTGTTAAGAGACTGTACAAGTCCTAATACAACAGCTGCTAATGAATACTGTCCAGTCAGTTTTCTTGGTTGTAAGATTAGAGGATTTGGTTGAACTCTTCCTAGAAGAAAATATGTTTTGATTTTTCCTTCCTGTTCACTGATACCTTTGACATAAATTTCTCCTCGGTAGTCGAAGGCAAATCCCCGGTCCTTCAGGATCAGATACGTTTCTTCAGGCACTTGGATTCTGTCACTAACACCTGTGCTGTCCATTCGACTTGCTAAATTCACTGTTTTGCCCCAGATATCGTACTGGGGTTTCTTAGCACCAATAACTCCTGCTACGACAGAGCCATGGCTAATCCCTAATTAAAAAAAAAAATAAAAAATAGAAAATCAAAAAGAAAAAGAGAAAAAAAAGAGAGGACAAACTACAATACAATAATGACTAAAACTCATATTTGCCTGGTTCGGATACACTTATCTCCAGACTTAAAAAAGAGGTGCACATATAAAGAAATTAAACAAACAAACAAAAAAAAATCTGGAAAAGCTAGAAAACTTGAAAAAGGATACCAACAGGGTTATTTTATGGGACTCCCATGTCAGTGGAATCACAATACTTCTATTTCATTTGTATTCTGCACATTATTGCCAACATGTCAGTGGAATCACAATACTTCTATTTCATTTGTATTCTGCACATTATTGCCAAAGCTGCTGAAAAATTATTATCAGATAGTAGGAAAGATTTCTGGAATTATACTTGTTGAGGGAGACCTTGTTAGTGCTATACAGTCAAGAAATTGCATTCTTATATTCTATGAAGTGAAAATATTAAAGCATTCTGTGAAGTTATTGAAAGACTGCATTTTGTAAAATTGTTGCCTAAAAAGACAAGCAATAGCTTTTTTTCTTTTTTCTATAACAGTGATTTAAGAATAATTTTAGTAGATATCTTTTAGTAAATCTTTTAGTAAGATATCTTTTGGAAAATTATTATAGTTTTTTAGGATTTTTTTCTTTTTTTAAAGATTTTTATTTTTAAAATAATGATAGAAATATTATCAAATACTCTTGCATTCATGCTCTATGTAATCTTTGTGTGTGATCCACACTTACTAAGCCTGTTCCTTGAGAAATCTTGGGAACCGTGTGTTTTGCCTTCAAAACTCTTGGGAAGTGCAGCTCAGACAGTGATGCTGTGACCCTCCATATTGTGACTGATGAATATATTTCAGTTTTTCTATGACAGGATAAAAGACATGTCCCTTCCAGGTGTTTTTTGGTTTGTTTTTTATGTTTGTTTTGGCCAGTGATCCAGTCAGCAGGAGAAGTCACAAAATTTACTCCTGCTCTGTGCCATATATTCTGGCCATTTTTTATGTCCCATCCCATTAGCCATGCAGGATATTCCATCCAGAGCAATAGCTTACCCATCACAACAATTCAGAGCTGCTGCCACTGGTCAGGTTAGAGATGGAATTCAACTCTTGTGAAAAATAGAAATACTGTTCCCAGGGTTTAGGAGAAACTACTTTTGTCCCTTTACTGAAGAAGAATATTATATGGGGAGATTAATTAGAGACTGTGTGAGTGTCAGTGTTGGATCTAGGGTTGTCCTGTTCACTTTCTGTGTTATATCCATGGCTACTTAGTACCAGACTTACTAAAGGCAGTAAATTAATTATGTTTCTGCATTCACAATTCACTGAAACTTTGAACTCCTACAATCCCCAAATAAGGGCCTATATTCTGCAAATGGAGTATTTCATATTTCTGACTTTCAAATTGACTTTGTTGAAGTCAATTTGAAAACAGAGGATACAGTATTTGGACTCTCCTAATCTTGCCATGTTCCTGGAGTGCCCTCAGTGGAGTTGCATCCTTGCAGACAAACCCCCATTTTAACTCTGGTGTTTGAACCACGCTTACCAATCCGGAGCTCAAAGTTGTTGAAGGAATGCTTGTTGATCTCCTGGATGCTTTCATTCAGAGCTATGGAGAAGTCAGCCAGGGCACACAAATGTCCCCATTTGTCTTCACATTGCTGAGGAAAATATTACACACCAATATGTTAATAAAGTTTTGCATTTTCCCAGCTGTCACCCATCCCTACAAGTACCAAGTTTTGGAATCTAGCCTCAACAGAGGCTAGAGAAGTACACTGCTAATAATGATAATGCTTACCATTATGTTCTACTTGTATAACTGGATAGAGAACAGCTTAAAGGGCCAGAGAAAGTAACTTTCTGTCAACAATCTGACAGGCAATCACGGGAATTAACAAGGCATGTGAAGAATGTCTATGGCTGAGAAAGTATAGAGAGGATTGAGATTGCTCAGATTCAAGGGTCAAAATCTAGTGAGAACAAGGGATGACCCACATAAGCCAGAATTAGAGTGAAAGAAGTGAGGAATGTGTAATTGTCCTTTGCTGAAACTGTCACCAGGAAAAGCATCAATTCAAGTGCTCTCAGAGATGTAATGATGACAGGAACAACAGGGCAAGCCAGGCAATCTGGGTTGGTTAAGGAAGAGAAAAAAGGCTCTTCTGTAGCTCATTAACTGCCTTTGCCTAGGGCAGGCAAGTCACTCCCTTGATATACAGTTGATATACAGATGGGGACCAGCAGTAGGTTTCAGTTTTCCCAGAACACCAACAGAACAGATGAAGGGGCAGGGACCCTCAAGGGAGGCAGCGTAGTAAAGAACACCTGTGGGTTTGCCCCAATGATTGTATGATGTCTTCTCATCTGTTCTGAAGCAAGGTAATTATTTCTTCAAATTTCCATTTTTTAGTACAAAGGATTGTAAGTCTCTCCCTTGGTCATGCAGTCGAGCCCTTTGCAGTTTTCATCATGCTATGTGTTTTATACTGAACATGAGCATCTCCTTGGCATCATCCTGTTCTCTTCACACCATGCTTGGTCCTTATCCTCACTCTGTTCACAGCATGCCAGCCTCCCTCAGCAGCCTGCACCTCTTAGGTGCTGACAAGGTGACAGACATGTACGTATGACAAGTATATTTAAAACATCCATTAAAATTCCATTAAGCTATTATAGTTCAAGAAAAGAGATGAGTTAATCATTCTTGGAAAGGCAGTGGAAGCTTTTCTTCCTTTGAATTTTTACCCCCATCAAGAGTCAAAGAAAGTGATTAGGAGATGTGTAGCTATAACCAACTATCTCCCTGTTGCTCTATCCTTCTTTGCTTGTGTCTATACAGAAGCATTTTGACAATCAAAAATCCCATGCTTATCTAGTTTTATGGATTTCTAACTGTCAGCATCACTACTTACTCTGTAGGTGGGAGATGCTCAGCTAGTTACACTCCATGTGTTTTATAATGTATTCTTAACAAACAGTGGAAATTTTCTGGTTTATAAAGCTCACGATAATCTGCTTTTCAGAAGTTGTGATCAATGTGGGCAAATCTGATTCCCACCCCTTTTGTGCTGCTCTTCCTGGGGACAGGCACCAGTTGCCAAAAAAACAGATTTCAGCAACAGATGACTTCTTGTTGGATGTATTTTAAAGTCTTATTTAATTTGTTTCCAGGCAAATTCTTGGGTGGAATTATGAATGGATTTCTCTCATCAGACTTATGTGAGGTTTATGGCTGTGACTGTGTGTCTGTCCTCTGTGACTGTTTATCCCCTCAGCTTGGCTTGCTTGTTCTTCAGTTGAAACAATGATCTGCTTTCTGCTTTCTTTTTGATGTGTAGTTATCATGATGTCTGTAGAAGTGCTGTACCAAAAAAGAGTATAAATGCAGCATTACACTTGCTTAAGTATGCTTTCAGTTAATAGATCCTCTCTCATCATCAATTATTGGAGGTTGTCAGTCATGTTTCTGAGTTACTGAGGTGGCTTTAGAGTATGTCTGAAGATATAGATAGAGACTGATCTGGATTCACATTGGTGTGACTGAAAGGAAATTTTTTTCCTTCTATAAACCTAAATTTGAGGAAAGAATCCATATGGTTCTTGTTCCAAGCACAAGATGGCATTTCAATTCATCAAGAAGTGCAACTGCTGTCTGCCAGGAACCCCAAATGTCTCTTTTATTTTAGCAAAACAAGTTTTATGAACAACATAAAGATAACACTTTTATTTTTGAATATGAATGGTCAGAATAATCAAAAGCTTAGCTTCTTAAATAAAACTCTCCTCTTACCTGTTTTTCAGGTGATAATCCTGACACGGCCATGTACGTGCTGCCAATTGTTTTAATTTTTTCAATATCTTGAAATCTCTCTTCACCTAGTAACTAATACATAGGTAAAAAGAAAAATACTGTTACTTCTGTAATTCCTAACACAAAATGCTTCTAAAGATGTGAGAATGTATCTTTATGCCTGTGGTATCTTCCAGTCAGTCATGGCACACAATTTATTCTGGGTTCTGGAGAACACTGATCTGGAACCCTGGAGCATCATCTGCTCACTGAGTGCATGCAAGAAAAATTGTGCTATTTGGTAAATTCCACAATGGATAATATAAGAAATGCATCTAAATTCTGCATTTCCTGAGGTATGATGACTGAATATTAGTGAAGACAAAATCACTGTGTATGTATGTGTGAATAGAAGACTTGATCACTTTAAATTGTTTCTAAAACTCTACTGGAGGAACTCAGTTTGCAAATTAAGTGCTTCTACAGCAACAATTAAAGTGATGAGACCAGTATTCAAGACTGGTCTTGTTGGGGCTCTGAACAAACTGTTCCAGTGGGAAGTGTTCCTGACCATGGCAGGGGGGTTGGAATGAGATGATCTTCCAACCCAAACCATTTAAAAATTCTATGAACTTACACTGTCAATGGATGGAGGTAGATGCCTCCACAGAAATCTTGTAAGAGACCAAGTCCTCTTATATCCCCTACTTCCCTCTACTTAGTGTCAGACTGGACACCAGCATGTCCATTGGATCATTGAGTCTATATGTTTATTATGTATTTCCCCTTCTAACAAAAATTCCAAGAACCAATGGGAAATGAAAAATCCCTGTATCTATTTGGAATTTGCTATAGCTATGGGTGTTAAGTAGGTATGAAGAACTTGTGAGATTGAGAATCTGGGAGAGGAAGAATAAATTTAGTCGAGTGACTAAAGCACTGAATTAAGTGGGAGTGAAATTTTGATCCCTATTCCAAGTCCATATTTATGGTTTAACTTAAGACTTTCCATGAAATTGAAACCAGACAGTTACATTCCTTGAAAGACCTTAGCAGAGTTCAGGATGTGGATTCTGTCAGTGACAACAGAGTGTGGGATATGGGCAGTAGTCACCTCATCACAGGAAAATGTTTTCTGTTGGTGTTAATGCCAAATACCCTGTGAAACTTTGTGATAAGCTGTATGGTATCTAATAAATTTAGAAATCAATATGGTTACAAAGTCATGGGAGAAAAAAAAGTGCTTCACTAAGAAAAGAAATTTCAAACTTTCAATTCTAAAGGCTCAGTTAAGTTGGGGTTTAAATGGAAAAAAGTCTTTTTGTGGTCAGGCAAAAATGTAAAAAAAATATTTTCCCCTTTCTTTTTCTACCCTGTGGTGCATTCTTTTTTCCATCTTGTGGGTTGGAATTTCCTGTCCACTGAAGGGATTATTTCATTCAAAGGGAGAAACATACCAAAGGCATAATATGAAATATCCCCTGGCACTGCAGCAGCCCCAGCGCCCGTCAGCCGGAGCGCCAGGGCCGTGGAAGCTTTGCTGTTGGTGTGCAGATATGGCACCATCTGTCTCTGATGGGAGGCTGCACAGCCCTGCACGTAGGGAATACAGAGCCATATGGCTACTGGCTCCTGTCCAAGCCAGGAAAGTCCAAAGATTTGACCTGCTTCTCATTTTTCTTCAAACTGCCAGAAGAGCCCATTGTGTACCTTTACCTCTTGCAAGGGCAGCTCTTCCAACTGCTCTCTTAAGGAAAAAAAAGATTGTTTCTTGTAGCTCTGCCTCTGTGAGCAGTCTGAGAGCACCATGTGTGTGGGCAAGGGGAGAAAATGGTCTTGCTTCAAAACAGCCCATATTTTCATTTCCAGATGGCTGCTGGAAGCAACAGCAAACGGCACACTAATTTAAAATTTATAATAAATATCTAAAATTACTCTTTTTAGGAAAGAAAAAAAACCAACATTGGCTGTGATGCAATTTAGAAAAAATGCTCCCAAGTTATGGGTATTTTCCTCATTCATTATTCCTTCCAAACCTCCTGTTTGTTTATTTTTTTTCCCCTACTTTATATGGCCTGTTCAATAGCTTCTTTCCTTCTTCAGCTAATGTCTATTTACTAATTACTTTCTTCATGGTATGATAGGATGATGGATTTTGATACTGGGGAAAAATATTCCAACTTAGTCCTAAATCAGCTGCCATTTGTTAAAACATTTTAAATAGGCTGCAAATTTAACATGATAGTCCAGGGACACATTTTCAAACACTAGAATGTGGTTTGTAGCCAAAAAGAAACTAATGGCTTGATGCTGCAATTCATGTACAGCCAAGGTTGTGTGGAGGTCAGATCCTGGGATCATATGTACAAAACTGTACAAAAAAGAATATTGCAAGACATGGCACACAACTGTAATGTAATCAAAGACTCTGAAAGCAGGATCCAGTGTTGAAACCTCTGCCTGTGGCAACAGAACAGATCAATATCTGTTGGGATATACACTATGTAAATTACTGCAGGATAAATAAAATGAAAAAAAAATAAAAGAATCTGTGAAGAAGAAAGCTCTTCTGAAAACACAAATCCCAACTGTAACATTAACATACAAAAATGACAGATAAAAAAGCCTAGAAAGAATATTACATTTAAAAAAAATTCCTTCAAGACTCATAATATCTGCTGAATTGTTATAATGTTAATTTTTTGGTCTAACATCTCTAAGAAAGGGAGTTTAGCCCTGTAAGTGTCTTAGAATTACAGTCATATAAAAAGCAGGTAATTGTAAAAGTAGGTTTTCAATGTTCATATATGTTTCTTTTTGCCAGTCCAGAAACTAGCACCTCCTGTTCAGCCTCAGCTCGCAGGGAGACTGGACAATTTGGAAATGAAAACATTTATGAACCATGAGGGAAAAAGAACAACTGAGTGAAGGCTGTATTTTGACAATAGTGAACACCCTATTCTTCAAAACTGACTTTTGGACCACATTCTCCCACTCCCTAAGAAAGACCCAGTCACAATCTGACTCCTCTGTGGGCACCTACCCCATGCAGGTGTCAGTGACAGGTTCTAATATTGGCTATTTATTTAGTATACTTTCATAACTGGCTTCGTCCCTCTAACATAGATTTATTACATGGAAAACAAAGTAGCAGATCCAGACTGTAACCTTGCTGTGTTGAATTAACAAGGAAAACCCCCTAAAAGCCGAAATAACCCAGATTTCCTTCTTGTGTACCTATCACATTTTCCAAACCAGGTCAATTTGTATTTTTACCACGGCTTCCATTCGGAAGCATAATTTTGGCCCTGTAGACAGATCATCTCTAATATTATTATCTCTGTAAGGAAAAGAGACAATTCACAGTTTAGAATCTGATCTGAGCTTAGGAACTCAATTCAGTTGTCTAAACATACATGTCCAGTGTGATCTGGAGTACTCTTGCCTAGGAAACCTGCGGTGGTTTGGTCCAGAGCATGAGTTTCCTGACAATGCAGTATGGGAGCTGACAATCCCATGTGGGTGTCCCAGACCACCTAGGACGTATCAAATGGCATCAGGTCCCTTTATCTTACACTCCTGTGCTAAGATTTCTACACTGGGGCATCTTTCCAGAGGTGTTCACTTGATGCTGAGAAGCAGAGTTTCCCTGTGGATAACAGAGCTGTTCTGCTCTCAAGCTGCACATCTGCATTTTCCTCCCGGGGCTCTGTTGGAACAGCAGGCAATCTTGTCAAGGAACACAGGGGAAAAAAAAGAAGGAATAGTGACATTGTATAGTGTCAGTCAATAGTTACACAGAAACATTGCACCTGGAATGATTTCTGGTTCCTTTTCCATGGATAAAGTTACTCCCTTCAGTTGTTCTGTCTGGCATATCACCTTTCAGGTTGCTTAGAGTAAACTAATGACACGACCATGCTGCAGATGGGTTAGCAGTCATCAGGGGATCCCATCATTTCATTTGCCACCTATACCCAGAACATACCTATTCTTCAACTAAACATGTCTGGGACATAATACAGTCTTTAATTAGGTCTTTTATTAATTACAGAGAAGGTGTTAGGGCCTTGAGAGTAATATTGTGTTAGGGTTTTGATTAAAACCTTGTCTTCAGTAATTGCCACGGCAGCAAAGGAATTTTGTTGTGAAGATTACATGAATGTGCATGACAAAATATCTTAATGCAAAGATTATTGCTATGAATTAATTTGAGTGGTAATCATTTTAATCAGATCTGGAAATAAAAACAAAACTATTAATCAAGAAGCATGCTGATAGCTGTGCTATATCTTAGAGGAAAGAAGTAGGCATTTATACCCATGGGGAATGCAGAGCAGGAACTTAGCAGGTGACAAGAGTTCTTCTCGTGAGGGAAAAATTTGTTCTCTGTTAAAATGCACAGGGAAGCATTCCCTGTGAATTATTCTATTTCCAAAATGTAGTTTTAGTATCTCACTAATTTTATGGATAAACTTAATTTCAGTGTCAGTAATCTTAGCCTTGTTACAATCTTTATGAGCGACCACTCATTCCCCACACAGGTGCCTGGGATGGAAGTCACAGACCAATGATACAATATTTTTTACTTCCCTTTTCTATCTGGACCATTGCAGTCTGGTGCATAGGTCCCATCTAGTTGATAAGCAGAAGTTGTTCCTATTCTATTTTTACCTCAGGGAGCTCAGGAGGGCTACACACTCCTGAAAACTGCCTGCAGCATAGAGGTTAAAATTCTCTCTGCTAGGTAATTTTGGCAGTGCTTTTTCATCCTTCCTGGTTTTGAAATTTTTTAAAGCTCTTTGTTGGCCCATGCTTTGTCTCCTTTCTTCATTCCTCTTGCGCTCATTTCAGGACATGATACCACCTGTCTAAGCTTCCTTACAAATTTCTTTGCAGAGTGTGCAAATTTCTCCTGACTTCCTCTTCATTTACCATATTTTCTTTGCTTCCGCTTATCAATATCTACATTGGGGATATATCTCCTCTTTTTTATCTTGCCCACTCCTCAGCTCATTTTCTGAAATTAACTGGACAGAATACCTATATAAATTATTTTTCCTTTCTGTGTCTTTTCCATTAAAAAATCAAAACAAAAAAACTCTCCACCTCTGAATTGGTCAGTGAAACAAGCAGCTGAACCTCATTTATGTCTCTATAAAATTCCTAACCAGAAAAGTCTCCTCAGTTAGTATATCACCACCACCTTTCATTCTCTACCTAATATTTGCTTCTGAGCTGTGTGCTTTGCTTTTAACTGGACACTGTTTTACCCTTTGGTGTTCATTGAGTTCATTCAACCAACACCTTTAAAGCAACATCTTTACCTGTTTGTATTTAGACCACTATTTTCCAGAACAGTTGTAGATATGTTCATACTTCTTTCTTCTACAGAACTATTTTCTACTTTTAGATACTCTGGTTCAGATTTGTGATTTTATAGATGTTTATACTTGAATATTGCTTTCCATCTCGATCACATTAGATCATTCAGATCAATATTTGGCAGGAAGAAGGGCAAAAAAGCAAACCAGATAATTGTAATACGAGAAAAAAAAATCAGAGAACTATTGGAAACAAAATAATCACCAAATTTGATAATTTAGGATGACATATTTGCCATTTGGAAACTCATAGTTTAAATACTATCAGGTTTTAATACTGCTGGTATTACCTCATCAAAGTCCGCAATGATTTCATTCAGTAAGCGCAGACATTCTACTCCTTGGTTATTCATTTCAGTCTGGGAATAAAAGTCAGCAAATCCAGGAATAGAAGCAAACATCACACCAACAGCATCATAGGACTGAGAGTATAATTCCTAAAAAAACAGTGAGGAAAAATGAAGTGGTAACATGTAATTGGCAGCAATTAAAATAATTTTCTTTATTTTTCCATGCACAATACCTTAACATTTGATGTTGGCATTAGTATATTAAGGCTTAGCCAGGTCCAACAGGAGGAGGCTGATAGCTCTTAATGTTTTTATTGAAGATTATATGCAGGGTTTTACCTTTCTTTGAATGCCTGCTTGTTCACTTCTCAGGTCAAGGAGCTACACCAGCAAAAGTGAAATAGAAATGTTGCTTTTGATTTATATGGGGAATGTCTTGGAGACATGAAAGATTCATTGCCAAGTACAAATACCACATATCACATTTTCTGGTGAATAATTTCTACTTCACACTACTGCAGCTCTTTATAAGTTTGTTTATTCTCAAGTTCTCAGGAAAGCCTTACTCTCCAGTAAACTCTGGTTCTCCTAAGGTGTCTGTGGAGCTCTTTGGTTGCCTGGCTCTGGGAGATGTTCCTGCTCTTAGGATTTGAAAGGAGGGAGAAACAGAAGTGGGAGTGATAATAGAGTTACTGTGGAGGACAGAAAGAAGCTTATGAGGGATCAGTCAGACAAGGCTACTAGGATAAAGTATGCCCTGAAATAAGCTCCCACTTACATTATTCATATAATTCACTCTGGTGTTGAATTACAGGTTTATTTATGGAGGGGCTGGTGAAATTATACATGTGAAAATGTGGACAGTTCTTGTCTCATCAAAATCTAATTTTCAAGAAAAAAAAAATAATTTCAACTGTAAGAATTCCAAGGAGTGCCATCACAACTCTTGGTATGCTTTTCTTTTGGCTAATATACCACCATCATATGTATTCTCCTTTGATTTCTTTTTCCTGGCTTCAACTTCTGTAGTTTGGTGGACACTTCCATATCTGTTTATGAGCCTTTCTTGTGTCATTATGACCCGAAGTACTTTTTTCTCAAAGTGGCTTTTCTCTTGTTAGTGGTTTGAAGAAATTTAATGTTTCGGTTTCACGATGAAAAGATTTATTGCTGGTTGTGAGCCACTTGACACGAACAATTCAGGCCCTTCTTTCTTCATCCTGCTTCTTCCTAGAAAAACATCCTGAACCTCTGTTCTGCTCTTTGCTATGCTGATAATGCTTCTGCTTATCCAGGCTCTTTTACAATGTGTCTTAGAGTAAAAGTGGGAAATTCTAGTTCTCAAAGTCACTTCAAAGCTCTGACTGAGAAAACATGGTTGATTCCCTTCCTGCCCTCACCCTTTCTTTCACTGAAAAGCATCTTCAGGGTCATGGAAGCCATACTCTAAGAACACTCTTATTCCCTTTTGTGGGTATAGAAAAATTATGCACACATTAATTCGTGGACACTTACGAAAGATTTGACAATGTGTGCTAGAAGCATGAATAAACTCAGCCATATTCTTGACTTGGATCATGAAGATAGAAAACAACTGCCTGAGCCTTCAGTTGCTCCAGTTTTCTATTTTTGGTAAGAAGCATAAGAACAGAAGTAATACATCCATAAGAAAATGCTACAGTACACATTTGGGAATTGATTTTTTTGAGAGCAGAGAAATTAACTTAATGGCTAGACATGAACTGCAGGATTGATTGCACTGAAATCTGGTAGATCTTACTGTCTGCCAGCTCATGCATAAATCATCCCCAAGTATAGTTACTCTGGAAATTGCCTTACAAAAAGCAGGGGTGGTGGAATTTAATTCAGTGGCAAATTATTGAAGCATCAGCAGTGATCCATGGGGCATCTGCTTGCTTCTGCAGATTATTATGCATGTGACTGTACGTGAATGAAAGTGTAAGATGGGAAACTCATTCCCTGAAAATCCATAGCACAGACATGCCAGAGCACACTCTTGGTTGGTATCAAGGTCTGCTGCACTTGCAATGAAACATTTTAACCTGGTTGCTTTCAGTCTCACATTTTCTCATGTGCATAGCAGGGCTTCTGTGGCACTTTCATACCCGCAGAGTGTAAAATTTCTCAAGAGTGATTTCTAAAGTGCCTCTTCTTATGGCTTCTCATTGTGTCATCCTTCCCCAGGTGATACTTGAAATCAGGACACAATGATTCCTCATTGTGCAGTCTAATTCGTCTGGCTACATCCATTTCCAAAATGAACAACAGAAAATTGTAGCCTTAATTCCTTTTTGCTGCACAATCAATAGATATATCAGTGCTGGCAAAGTGAATCTTGCAACATTTCTTCCCATAATAAAAGATAATTCCAACATTATGTGAAAAAATTCTAATTTCATCATACAGTACCTTAATATATATATAATATTATAATATGCATTTACTTTACTTCAAATAAGTGACTTACTGCTGCTTTCAGAAACAAATTCTGGACTTTCCTTTATCCATCTTCAAACTTAATTTTAGGGATATTCAGACACTCCATTATCATGCTTTTCTTTGTTACTGCAAACACTTTTTAGGAACACAGCCACAAACTATGTCTCTGAAATGGGTGTTTTGTTATTTGCCACAAACAGGCAATTCAGGGCCAATATGAAATGACAGAAATTTTCTCTTGTGTCTGAAGATATGAGAGCCTCAGGTCTGCTGCAGCTTGTTCCTTCCATAGTCACTGTCAGGGCTCTAATAATACTTCTGCAACACTGGGCTATCATAAACTTGCACAGACATTCTGTTAAATTCACATTTTTTTTATGAATTTCATAGGTTTTCATAGACTTGAATACTAGATTTTCATAGACTCGTAAACAGGAACTGACTTCTGAATCTCATTTAATACAGTTTGCTTTCAAAGCAGAACCAATTAGATCAAGTCTTTCACAGACCTTTTGATTTGAGGGTTGAGCCCTGCTCTGCCTTCACAGAATCACAAAACCATGGAATTGTGGAAATGCTGGGGTTGGAAGGGATTTATGGAGGTCATCCAGGCCACACTCCCTGCCCAGGCAGGGTCACCTAGAGCAGGTTGCACAGGAATGCATCCAGATGGGTTTGGAATGTCTCCAGAGAGGGAGACTCCATGACCTCTGTGAGCAGCCTCTTCCAGGGCTCTGCCATCCCCTGTGTAAAGAAGTTCTTCCTCATGTTGAGGAATGAGCAACATTTTGTGTTTTAATTTATGGCCATTGGTCCTTGTCCTGTCCCTGGGCACCACTGAAAAGAGGCTGGCACCATCCTCTTGGTACCTGCCTTGGAGACATTCAAATGCATTAATGAGACGCCTTCTCAGACTTCTCTTCCCAAGCCTCTCCTTATAATTGAGATGTTCCAGGCCCCTAATAATGTTTTCTTTATTAACACTCATTTGGTACTTGAAGACAACAATGAGATGCTCTTTCAGTCTTTTCTTCTTAAAGATGTATGATCTCAGGTCTCTCAGCCTCTCCTCATGTGTTACCCAATCCCATAACCATCTTGGTGAATTATTGCTAAAATTTCTCTCTGTGTGCCCCACCAATTTCCTGCCAGATCTACTTTTCTTTTACTAATTAGACAAAAATATCAGAAACCTGACACATACTTCATTATCCCGATCCTTCTCCAGGAAGTGACGGGCAACATGACTGGGTAAAATGTTCCGTAGCATATTTTCATTGTGCTCCCTCAGCTCCTTCATTTCATTGATTTCTTCTTTTGCTTGAACACGCCACAGAAAATCCAGCCTTGCTGTGTATTCAAGCTGTAGTTTCAGAAAGAAAAAAGGCAAAAATAAAACCTGACAAGATAAGAGTTGGGATTGTATTGCCATCCTGGCAGGCTTCTCCTGCCTCATAACCACCTTAAGTGCTGCTGAAGATTTCTGAAACAATTTGATTTTCTTTTCAGAAAAAGAGATTATTTCTTTGCCTTATGTACAGTGAGACTCTCAGAGTAAATGAGCAAAATAATATTTGTCATATTACTACTATGGTCAGTGGATATTATCTGTCACCAAATTACTTTCCCTTTAAACATACCTTTATTATTTAGATAATGCAGTCAGACAGGAGATAAGGTATTGGTAGGTATTGATATGAAAAAATATGCTCCCCTTTTCACAAGTGTTTTCATATTAAATGAGAAAATTAGCACAAGACTAACTCTAAACTCTTGGCAAGGATGTCCTGCTCAAGAATGAACATCTTTCAGCAAAACTCTGTAAACCAGCCCAAAGTATTCCCAAAGAGAACGTCCAAATCTGTGGCACAAAAATTATATACTGTTAGGACATCCAGTTATTTGAAACTTTAATCTTATAAAAACTAATGGAAACCATGCTATTTGTCATCCCCTCCAACTCTCTGTGCCTGTATTTTGGGATCAGAGTCTACAATTGCAGTTGATGCATGCAAAGTCTCACTGCCTGATACCTGCAGCTAAAAACTGAAGTGATTTCCAGTGTGCATGTGCAGAACAAAATCTGTGCACAACAGAGCTTATATATGTATACATATATATGAATTGTTGATATATATGTATATATAAGTTCATATTTATCTGAATGAATGGCAATTGTCTGCTAGCTGAAGCAAGGAACATGTTGTGTGTCACTTGCCTGAGAGGCACAAGTGTGTCAGCACATGGGCAAGCTCAATACTGCCAGAGATTTTGTGTGCATTGCACTGAAGCAGAGTTTGAAGCAGATTTCAAGGCAGCTGATATTGTAGCTTGTACAAGAGGTGACTTATTAAGGTACAGCATTACTGAAAATCATGGAAATATATATATATAGTCAGTAAACTGAAAGAGAAAATATATTTGTGAGGTCTGAGATGCTCCAACCAGAGATGATAACACCCAGCAAAGAAATGTATTATGCCAGCAAATAGATGAATTTTACAATTTTGAGAGACATCAAAAGGTGCTGTGATAGAGGAATTTTTTTGAAATAGAATTCATATACTAAATTAAAATAAAGGAGCAGCCTGGAGTGGGTGGGAATGACTAAGAGGGGGTTCAGGCATTGTTTAGTGACTCATCTTGGTCACAGTTTTAGTCAGCAGCAGTCATGAATGGTAAACTCCTCAGGAGAAAAAAAGCACAGCACTTTGCAAGGGAACTTCAGTGCTGGCTGTACTCTAGGGAGCTTTCCTTCCTAAAAGCTAAAAGTGACCGTGGCTTGATATAAACTTCCAAAGCCTGTATGAAATTTGGCAGTGATTTACTTGCCCTCTGGGTGCTGTAGCCAGCTTTAAAAACAAACTTTTTTCTACTGATATGATGATCTTCTATCTTGTGATTGAATTAAAAAAAGGCCTGTCAGGAAAGAGTATTTTAAACAATATTTTCAACATTTTCCAGCTTCCTTTGCCGTTCTTTTATGCTAGAAGACAAAGCCCATACCAGATAACTGACTTTTATCTCTACCAACTAACTGAGAAGAAAAAATTAACTATAAATTTGCAAGGAGTTCTAAAGGTATTTCAAAGATTGACGTCAAACAGGAGCTGCTGCTGGATTTTGAGTTCTTTGATGCCTCAAGGTATTTAATGCTACTACAATAAGAGCTCGGCAAAAAACTGTGGTAGTTTTTCAGAGCTGATTTTTTATTCTGCTCTGCAGGGAAATGTCACATCTCTAAGCCTAGCTCAGAATAGCAGCAGCTAATCTTTATATTTTATATAACGTCATTCTGGTTATTTATGATCACATTTTAACATGAAATACTTTTATTTCATCATCAGTGGGCTACCAAAATGACACTGCCAGCTCAGAAAGAAAGGAGTGATATATATGAGATTTGAAAATAGAAAATATTAAGAAGTTGCTTTGCTAAGTTCTTATATTTGCAAAAACTGAAAGAATTGTAGGGTTGAGTTTAAGGTTTGTTGTTTGATTGTCTAAAGAAATATTCCTGGATTTAAATCCCAAAGTGTCCATGTTTTCCTGCCCTGATATGTAGCTTTAAGAAACACCATTAATTACAAATTACAATAGTTAGTGAAGAAAAGAGAGGTGTATTACACAGAAAACCTAGCATTGTGTCCTCTACATGCTGCACAACCCAACCACTCTGCAGATGATTGCCACATGCAGTTACATTAAATCTAATAAGATGGTACCACACACCTTTTTCACAAATTTAATTATAAATTTTGGGTGCTAAATATGGCATTAACTTTAAATCGCAATGGATAAAAAACCAATAGTTAATTATTCAAAAATTGAAGGTTCATAAATATTAGCTTACAAAAATAATCCTGTTCAGTAAACCCACCTAGAATAAGACAAGCTTTAAGCTATTCTACTTTAGAATACTTTTGCAGCTTGTGAGATGGGAAGATGTGCTGGAGGACAACTTTATTGGACTGAATGTGTTCCTTAATTCACACTTTTGAAGAGGTTATTTTCTTTTTTATTTAATGTGGTTTGAATAGAACTTTTATATATATATATATATTAATTTGGCAGCTCTACAGAGATATTTAGGTTAACTCCATAATAAGAAATTAAATAATTCCATGAAATGTTCCTGGACTCTGCTGTTGGATGCTGTTAAATTGATAGACTGGCCTTATGGATCATCTGGGAGAACATGCAGGACTTAGCACATCTTAGGGGCCATTTCCAAGGGCAGTTTTAGTGCAGTCATCCTGTTTTATAGAACAAGGAAGGTTAATAAAATGGAAAATAACTTGTGCTCTGCTTACAGGCCCCTGGATTGGAAAATACTCTTAAACAGCCCACAGACATTTACACTCAGGATTGGAATCCTGAAGAGCATTTCCTGGTTTCTGCCTGATTCTTTGTTCATTTCTAATTTGTTCTGTATTTTTCCTAAGTTGACTTTATGTCTTGAAAAAGACACATCACAGCTCATTGCTTTCCATTAAATTTAAATCTGTGTGTTGTGAAAAAAAATTTCATCCCTTGCTTCCCCTACTCACTCACTCCTCATTCCCTCAAAAAGAAGATAAACAGTAGGAAAATTAATAGAATATTTAGGTGTTGGCTTCTTTTTGCTTTCCTGTTGAAAGAATGGAGGTTCTAACTTCTGGGGCAGCTTAGAAAGTTATTGTAGTAAAGTGTATAATATTGTCTTATTCATCACAGCATCATTCCTTTCTTACTGCCTCAGTAAAAAAGGGGGATTGAGAAATGCTGGAGTTTATCAGCCCAGTGATTGGCCATTTATGCCAAATGGTCTCGAGGGGAAAATCTTTAGGCAAGTCAACAATGTCTAAATGTCTAACTGTGCCTGGTACTTTCTTTAATACAGCCTGCCCCTTGATTTTTGTGATCAGAAACTGCCTCAACTCAGCATGTTTGACATCCAGAGCCTGAGAGACAGAAACACTGTGGACAAAACACTCTGCTTTAGCTGGTTTTTATTCAACACATTTGTTATTTTAAATCTAAATTTGCCATAGTTCTCTCTCCCTGTGCAATGTGTATGTATTCCTGAAATACCCAGTTTCTCAATTCCTTCTTGAGGATATTAGTCCCAAAGATCTGAGGCCCTAAATTCTGTTTAAGATCTAGGTCCATGTGAAAGGATTCTTGTAAGTGGTCCATGACACAGGTGAGTAAGTACTGGTGCTTAACCCATATTTTCCTCATTTCCTAGAGTTGTTTTTTCTTTATAAACGTAATAACTTATTTCACCGTGGTTTCATCATTTACTGGTTTTTATTTCCTTTCTGTATTTTGGTTTTATGCCTACTCAAGTGCACTGAAGCTGCCAGGTGCCTCCAGATCTGCATATGTGTCTAAAATAATGGTGACCTGTTTGTTCCTTCAAATAGAAAATGCAATATAATTTGAGTATTGCTGAATAGAATATTGCACATGTTCTTTAAGAATGTTAGGCAGTGTCAGATGTGGGCTTTCTTTAATCAGATTCTGCACATGGTTTATTAAATTGCTAAAGGTCATATGCTCAAGAGGGTAAAAAGGCAGATGGTATTTTAAAAGTAATTGTTGTCACATCTTGTAATTGCAAGGGACAAAGGGAAAGGTTGAAGAAAATGTTTGAATTACCTGTTGACCATGATAAAATACAGCTAAAAGGAACATTGCCATCAGTAGCAAAGATGCCTCCTTTGTACCCAGGAAGTCTGTGCTGGAAAAAAAAAGACAACAAACAGCAAAGTAAAATACAGTTATTGATTTATTAGTGTTGTAGTTGTTCATAAGTTTCATTTCATAAGTGGAAATTTTTGTTGTTCTTTAAAAAAAAATTCATTCCATTTGAAAATTTAATTTAGCAGTAATTAGTTCAAGAGAACAGGAGTGTAATTGGAGAGCTCCCTGTTTGGAGACACATCTTAAGTAAATTGTAGCCTACAGGAGGTACACAGGAGGTGATGAGCTTACACTTTCAAATGTGATATGCAAGCTGTGTGTCAGTCAGTCTCTTCCTGGGAGCTTGGTAAGCAGCCCCTGTGGAGTGCAGGAGGTGGCATCTTGGGGGGGAAGGTTGAGGTGGAGCTGACAAAGGGAAACTTCCAGGCTGTGAAGGCCCAGTGAATAATGCTAAAGGATGAACTCCAAGGCAGGAGCTGAAATTAGACATCCCCCATATTGTGATAAGGTTTTAGAGATGAAAGGAATATAGTGTGGGTTAAAAGAGGGAGGACCAAAAAAAAATAAAAAAATGGCAAACTAGCAAGGACTGGTTTTAATGAGCTACAAAGAGGAGACCAGAGAAGCCTGTTACAAGGGGGGTAAAGGAAACCCTTGCAGACCACAGGGAAGCAGAGAAGATGAGCCAAGCAGGTACTGGCTGTATGAAAACACTGAGATGCTGTGTATGGAGCACAAAAAATTCAAAATAAAGGGGTTAAAAGCAGTAACAGGGGGTTTCAAATATTGTGAGAAATTACAGTTATGTGTAAATATGAATAAAAACTGAAGAAAGTATCTCTGTATACCAGGGTGCTTTTTAGAAAGCAGTCTTCCCAGGGAACAGGCAAAAGAGGTTGGGGAACTGGCAGAGCCAAAGTTATAGTAAAGTAAGTGAGAGAAAAAAAATATTTGGAGGTGAATTGAACAGGGATATTTGTCAATTATTTTGTTGAAGGGAGATGAGAAAAGGAAGTTTTTATGTGGTGATAAAACCTTGAAATTTTGAAAAAAATAATAAGTGAGTAAATGAAGACCAGAAATTGGAAGAGATTTTGGGACAACCTTAAGTCTGCCTTGAGATCTAAGAACAAAAAAAAGTCCAGATACTGGATTGGTTTTCCACAGCAATTTTTAAAGAAGTATTGAATGATATTTGTCAGAGAAGGACTCTTATGACAGAGAAATTAGAGAAAGAAAGAGTAGAAGTTGAGACTAAACTAAAAGGAAACTTTCTAGTGAGAGAGATAACTGAGCTGACTTTGTGGTCCTAATGAATTTACTGGAAATGTGCTGCTATGGGGTGAGTCATCAATATAGAGCAAGAGCAAGTCATCTGCAAATATGCTGGAATTCAAATGTGTCCTATTTTGAAGTTGCCCAAAATACAACCTCCGAGTGAACCCATTCCAAAAGGACCCCTTGTACACTGGCTAAAGGCAAGAGCCTTACAGGTCTTGGCTATAAACTCACCAGTTATTGCATATTGTGGTGCTGGAGCTACACCCACCATAGCTGGATGATCTCTGTAAGGAGTTGCAAACTCTTGTATTCTAATGATTTATATAGCTAAAAAACCCAAATAATTTTCAGGGCACACAATCTTGAACTTCATTCTCCCTAATATATATTAGTTTAAGTTCATATCCTTGTTGTGAGAGTGGAGCATCTCAACTGATTTCCCTATGTCTTGGGCTGTTGGCTACTCCAGGGAATATTCCTGCTTCTTTCTCACCCTTCTCTGATAGCACTCACTAGAGAGTTTCATTGGCACAGGGAATAGAAGCTACTCTGAATTCTTCAAGATTTTCATACAAAAGAGATTCTTTGCCATGCCTGTTTAGTGTCAATTATCATAATTTTTATTTCTAGTAACTTAGCCAAAGTATTGCTTACTGCCATTTGTTAGATTTGCTGGGGCCTGCTCTGATATATATGATATATATATATGTACAATGTTAGCTAGCATTAGAAAAAGGAATTGCACTCCAAATCTTTGGTATCTTGCTACTGTAGGAAGCAAGTAAGGAAAAGTCTGCATGCAGGGCCTCGCTATGTGTAAGGACATGGCTCTTTTGAGAATTAATTGTACTGCAAACCCATGCTTTTCTCTCACTCTGAGCATCTTCATCTGCACTTACAAGCACAAGCAACTGCAATGCTACACTGGTCAAGTATCAAAGACTGAAGTGTTTTCCTGAATGATTTTAATTACTGCTGCTCTGGGTTCAGTTATTGCAACACTAATTGTACCTCTGACTCTGCAAATCATTGTGGTTCTTCTGTTCTTCTCTTCAGTTTCTCTCACTGGGAAAGAAACCTGGGAGGAGGAGGAGGAGGAATGTGTCCTTCAAGCTCTCTCCTACAAAACAGGATCATCCCTGTGTTCTATATCTTTCACAACTGCACTTTGTTTATTCAGATTTTATTCTAAAAAATCAATTGTACACTCCTGTTTTTTTAAACTGAGGGGAATTTTTCTGTTTTTCTGGAGCTTTCAAGAATAGAAATGACCAAGGTATGTGCATTGCAATGCATAATTTTTGTCAGCATTGATAGACTGTAAGAGATATGAAAGACAAATCCTGCTCAATATTTAAATGCCCTCATGAAATGAACATTTTAATAAAAAGACCTGAGAAAGAAGCAGATTATAAATAATTTTGAATTAGTCATTGCCTGTTGTAACCATCGCTCCATATTTAACTATGGTGCTATCCAATGCACTCATACTCTGGCAAGACTTGGCCACCACCTTAAGAAAAAGCAGCTCCTGAAGGGGGCTGTGAACACTTACTCTCCATTGTGGTTAAAGTTGTCATATTGCAGAAAAAGGGAAGCATAAATGGTCTCAGTCAGCAGAGAGTAGATGGCAATCATGATGAGAAGAACTGCCAGCTTCAGGACAGAGTTGAGACGAAGAAAGACTGCACAAGTCACCATTGCCAGCACACCAGTGAAGACAAAATACTGAACAGAAAACAGCACTGGTTAATTTTGGTGATCAGAGATAAATATCTATGTAAATAATCAAGTAACCAGAAGTATGGAAAGATTTTGGATTTCAGTGGTCAGCTAAGCCCTCTTAGGGCCCAGGGCACTTTGGAAATAAGTGTTTTGCTAAAATAGAATGTGAAATTACAAATTCTCTGTTTTTCATGGTACCTCCATGTCAGAAGAGATTGTTTTCTAGGCCTTAATGGCATTTTCATTGCATTATAAAGGAAATGGCATCCTCTATAATTAAAAGAGGAAAGGGAGAGATGCTGCATGCAGTAGATTGCTACTGAATAGGCAACCGGGAGAAAACAATTTATATTCCTTTAGAGTCTAAATTTCCACAAGACCCACAAAATACTCAGGATGGGAGAATCATATTTCTATTTTAATTTTTCCCATGCTACTGAAGAGAGCATAAAGCCACAGGTTTGGAATTTTTTTGGCTTTTATTTTTTTTTTAAAAAATAATATTTTAGATCTAGCTTGGTTACATTTCTCTCTTAAAATGTGATGCCTGGAACTTTTATTCACCCCTTATTTTCTAATCTTTTCATTGTCTCATTTTTCTCAATGATTAGTCATCTGCCAAATGCAATCCATGCAGCTGATACTGGATAGAGAGAGGCAATCATGGTCATGAGCTATTCAGACTTAAAATAGCAACATCAACACCCACGATTCAAATGTAGTTTAAATTAACTCAAATCACACAGCTTTAGGATTCATTTTTCTGGGTACAGTTTTTCTTTAGAACAGTTTCTCTGTAGGAAAGTCTGCATCCCTGCTGTTTAGAGAATACTGCTGGCAGTATCATGACACTGCCATATGACTTTCTAGGCAACATACTTCTCTTATCTACACATGACCAACACATTGATTTTGTTGCCTGCTTGCTCAACTTAGAGGGAATTTAATTTTTTTTTTTTCTCCAAAAATAATCTTAAAATAACCACAGCAGTCTAACTACTGTCTTTGTCATGTAAGAAGTTTTGCTCTCCATTACATTCATGCAAATTAGGTGCTTTATTGCACTAGATTTATTGAATTATTGCTGGGTGTGTTCCCAGCATAAAGGTGTTGTATAAAGTTCAAACATTAAATCCTATTTGTAATGCTCCATTAGGTCATAAGGTTAATTCCTTCTATAACCAGTCTCTGCTTTTTCTATCAACATATGCTTAGAGGGAAATGTTCCCTTCACATTCTTGAGCCCCTGATTCCACCACAAGGTAGTGGTTTCCATATAACCTTTGTGGATCCACACCTCAGATTCAAAAGTACCCCTAGAAATACCTCAGGACAGGAACAGATGTCTGTAAAAGAAGCAGAGGAATTGAAGGTCTGGTTCTTCAGGGCTATTGGTTTGTCAAAATCACACCATAGCTGTGAAGAAATAAAACAAAATCAGGGCTATATTGTGCACTGGTGACTAATTGCTTGTCTGGCTGGCTGGGTTCAGGGGTGGGACTGGGTGACCTGCTGCTCTCCATGGAAGCTCCCCAGCTGGCACCAAGGATGAATAAATGGACAGTAGGAAGACATACTGTGGAGATGAAATGGAAAAAGGGGAGCTATTTGTGCTGCAGACATTCAGCATCTGAACAGCTTCCCTATCCTCTCTTTCCAGAGTGGAAAGATGAGCTCTGGGATTTCCAGAGGACTGATGTTCGAGTCTTAAAATTTACCTCTCAAAGTGTTCAGATTTTGCTATAAACTAGAGAGAAAATTATTTAATCAGAAGCATAAAATCAGACTGAATGTGTGCCCTTTCTGCAAACTGTTTTCATCTGCTATGGATAGTGTTATTCTTTTGGATATGGGACATCCATCCTTCATTTTCATGATATCACACAGACCTGGTTGTACCAAAACATGATGTGGTCCCAGAACAGCAACTGTGATGCTTAGAATGGAAGGGAATAAAAATTCACTCATGAAACAATGGTTCTGATGATGTAATATTGTTTTTTGCTGTTATGACCTACATTAATTTTAATGGTATTTCCAACCAAGAACATTAGATACAAAGAAACCAGCAGTGTTGAGTTGGAATACATTATGGTCTTTGAAGGAAGGCAAACATCATTAATTGCTTCATGTTTTGACACTTAAAGCACATGGAGTTTCCTGTAATATGTATTTATTTACTCTGGATGATTATAGTAGGTCATGTCATCCACCTGGTGTGTACAAGCTAGTTAGAGATCTTTTTTCCCAACTGTTAGAGAATTCATTTAATGAGGTCCAGTTTCTTATCATTAATTTCAAATTAATTTTGAATTTGGGACTCTTCTGTTTGTTCTTTTAGGCACTCAGCCATCTCTGCAGTGCAGGAATATTACATGGCTGGCTGAGCACTCTTCCATGACACCAGACAATTAATTGTACCTTCTGAAAATTTATCAATTATACAGCACCTCTCTGCAGAGCAGAATGTCACAAGAAGTACAGGTGTTTTTTAAAAAGACTTTCAGGATCAGAAACTTAATTTTATAACAATAGAGTGGACTCAAGACTCATAAGACTCATTTGCTCCCCTGGTGAAGCCAAAGCTTTGTGGCTCTTCTTAGAAAGCATCTGAGTCTTAGTGCCCTTCAGCTGGCTGCATTTGAGCTCAGTGAACACATAAAGCTGCAAGGCTTTCTGAGATGCATTATCTGTTCTTAAATGCATGCAGGGCCCTCCTGAACAAAATAATATTATGGAAGAGTTTTGACATATAAATATGAAATTATATTGATGTTGTCATTTCCTGTAGAGGTCAGGAATCAGTGACTCAAGTCATTTTCCAGATAAATATGTGACAATACATATGACTGTTTACTGCTTTACATAAAACCACTGGTGTGACAGTAAAAAATAATTTTCTTTTGTCTGTCTTTGGATTAGCCAACCCAGAAAATTGCAGAGGACACAATCTTAAAAAATAATGCACAAGAACTCAGGGGAAGGAATAAATTTGGCATGGATAACATAATAGAAATCTTGATTAAAGATTAAGACTAATTCTACCAAAATCTTTCCTGAAAGGTATTTTTTAGACATGATTTAAAAACCTTTAAATTCTAAACCACTGCTTAGAGATTTATATTGTAATGCACCACTGTCTTTTCCTTCAGAAAGTTTTCAGCCCAATAAAACTTCCTGACATTTACTCTATTTATATTTTTTCTGTAATGGTAGAAATGAGTGGCTGCATTTTTCTTTCTCTGACTTACTCTCCTATCAGTGATACTTTTAATCTATCAGTGAGATATTTACCACATTCTTGGCTCAGACTTCAGCACCTGTCAGGTTGTCTGACATTATAATCTGCCTAACTTATGCAAAGCTCTCTCATGTTGCTGAATACATCAGGATAATCAGGGCTCTATTGGATTTTTTAAACTATTATTTTAGAAATTGTTTTATTTTTCTTAGTAATCTAAATAATAGCAGAACTGTAAGATGAGCTGAGAATTTATGAGAGGAAGAATTTAATATACATAAGCATTTTTTGGATTGACAGTCTTTAAGAAAGTATTTCAACGTGTCAGAAAATTACAAATGGTCCTCAAAGAGTGGATATGTAGAACAGAAAGTTGACAAAAGATTTTAAAAATAGATGATAGTAATGAAGGAGAAATCATTATATTTCTGAAATATTATTATATTTCAGAAATACATAGATTAAGCAATGGATTGAATTTCCTGAAGCTGTGATGCTTTGCCTTTTCTATGTTATCTAAATCACAGCTGGCCTATAGACATAGTTAGCAAGTCCTGTGGCAAGCTTAATAATTCATAAATCATCTTTTCCTGTATAATATCCCTTGGTTCCCTATAAGCTTACAATATTGATGATGGCTCCAAGAAAATTAATCAGAATGGATGCAAATATAATGACATTCCTTGCCAAGTAGGTCTCATTAATCCAGCAGCAAGTTTTCCGAAGCATTAAGGGTAAACATTTGTAATCCTCTGCCGTAGTTATCAGCACAAGAGCGGAGTGCAGCATAATCAGGATAGAAAACTGAATGACCATTGGGATCACTCTGGGGAAAAAAAAGAGAGAATTCAGTGTCAAACCTCAATATAATCAGTCAGTAAATCAAGGGAAATGTTGGACAACATGTCCACGTAGAACTAGTCAAGGGAGTCAGGAGGGCTCATTGCCTGTGTGGTTTTGGATACAATTCATCTCATTGCACAATAGTCTCAGATTAATGCAGGTGGAGAGCACCTTGAGATTCAGACTGACTTGTTCTCCAGTGGATATACTTTGATCCTGGGTTATGGACACTGACAGAGGGTCATGCAAGATTAATTCCTTGAGTTTCCCACAGTACAGCAGTACCCTGCAACAGCCTTCTTGCTTTGCAAAGCCAAGTGCCTGCATTCCGATTTGGAATTGATAGTTTCTAACTGTATCACAGATATATATGGACAGTCTATATATGCTGGTGTAGCCTACCAGTTCTGCTAACCTAGCCTGATCCAGCTCTGGACAAAATCAAATTCAGGCCTTCAGAAAGATTAGGATCAAGTCTCAAGAAGTCCAGCCTGAGGACACTAAACATTAATTCTTATTTCGGACTGCCAAGCTCTACATGTAAGACCCATGTTATTGCATTAAGGTAATATAAGGGAGCATCTTCACACCTAAGTCTGGGATATAAACCCAAGATTGCAGAATAACCTGCTTATGTGCCTGAGAAAGTGACACCTTGTATTTGTTCACAATAAATTTATAGGCAACAATTTTTTTTTCCGCTGTAGCTCTTCAACTGAAGATGGATGTGCTTGTCTCTTGCCTGAGCCTGCTTGACTTAATAACAAAAGTGAAGGTGGCACAGTGTAACCTCTCATATGAACAATCCAGTATCTGTGCTAAGATTTTGATGGGACTATGCTGATAGGATCAAGTACAATAAAATGAATAGAAAAGGTTAAAAGAACCCAAACAAAAAAACATGGTAATTTTCTGTCCATGAACTTCTCCCAGAAGTAGGACACCTGGCTTGGATCAGCCCTTCATTCAAGAAGAGGTTCAGGACAAATTGATTTCCTTTTAGGGATTCTCCTACTGTTAAGATCAAGTGAAGTTTAAAAAGAACTTTTTTCTTTCCTCTTCCTTGTGTACAATCCTAAATCAACTGATTTGAGCCAAAAGGAAAACTTACATAAAACAGAAGAGGCAAGTGTTTAAATTAATAACAATTTGAAAATTTGCTTTTCTCCTTCACAAGAATAACCCAGTGAAAAATGGGCAGAAATGAGAGTATTTCAGCAGTCTGTTCTAGTAAGACCTACTGTCCATGTGAGCATATAAATAGTTCATTACAGGAAATTAATGAAACTCCCAGGCCTCTCAGATGGAGAATATGAATCACTGCAAGGTTGACAATGCAATATAATGGTTTCATAAAGGACAATTATGGTAAAAAATATGGCATTAATTTATCTCACTTAAAGTAATTTCCCCAACTCTATATTTCAAAGAATGAAAACTATTGCAAAGATTTTTAAATTCATGTATGTCTGCCCTGTCAGGGAAAAATGCATGAATGGATCAAATATTTATCCTTAGGGAGATAACCTGAGACAAAAATATTTATCCTTAGGGAGATAAACTGAGATTCTGAAACTTCCATACACATTAGATTTTATATAAATTCCCTTCTTTAACTCACAGACTAAGGTAAACTCTCTGGGAAACTCCCTGAAGAACATAATGTATGTTCTGTGACAATCTAAATAACATTTTCATCAAATTTTCAGAAACCAAAAGATTCAGCTACAAAAATATTCACACATCTACTTAAGCAAATGCCAAATTTCATCCTTGTTCAACAGAAATTGGAAGCATCCACTGAAAAACTCTTATATGTGTTTTTAGGAAATGGGTTAATTAGCATGAGGACTGAATTATACTTTGTTAGTAGTTTCATGGAAATTATTTCCATGGTTTTCCTAGGATTTTACCTCTCTGATATTTAGCAGAGGCGTAACAAATGAATATGCAGTTATTTCAAGGATTCTCTGAATCCAAATCCTGTCTAACTTTGTGGTAGTTTATTCAATTGCTCACGCCTTGAACTTCTTTTAGAACTGGAACTTAGGAAATTTGAACTTCCAGATTATTTTCTCACACAATATGTTTAAGCATATTGAAACCTTCTCAGTCAAAACCCCTATCCTGTTATTTTAGGGTTGCTCATCTGTTGACAGGCATGCTTTTTAAAAAACCGGAACACATTTTTTGAAGCAGAGTATCAGAACTTGAAAAAACAAGACCAAAATTTGTCTCCTTAAGCCTGCCTTGACAGTGATGTTCAGCTCCTGACAGAACACAGGAACTGCCATAAAACACCCATGTGTACCCAAAACTCCTCTCACAAAAAGGGTAGTGGTAAATATCCTTTCCCTAAATATCTTCCCAGATTCCAGCAATCAACCTTTCAGGGCATTCTTGAAGACAAGGTCATATTTTAAAAAAAATCTCTGCTCATCTTTGTGATGATGTCTCTTGATTTCTTTCATCATTTTTCTTGATTTCTTGTAGGAATTTATCTAATCTTCATTTCGACCGATTTGTATGTGCAGCCTCTTTAACATTCCGTGACAAAAAGGTCCTCGGGGAAAAACACAAGACTACTGGCAAGATGAGAAACTAGGAGGTGAGACAGCTGCAGGCAATGTGTTTGCACTCCTTCCCCCTCATTCCAATGGCACTAGACAACCTCACAAGAATTAACAGAGGCGAATCTGTGCAGACAGAAAAAAAATCTTTTCTTTTTTTTCCTTTTTTTTTTTTCCTGCTGGTATGGCAGTGATTGATATAGCAGCAGAAATCTTTTTGGAAAACAGGTTCTGTTAATAAGAGCCATAAATCTTCTTGTACATACTGAGGAAAAAATAACAAACAAACAAACACACAAACAAACAAAAACATCTACCAGAAGTGAAGAACTTTAAATGTGTGTTGCGAGAAAAGCTTTTAAAAAGCAAGCAAACTTACTAGGGGCAATATAGAACATAAGGAACAACAGAAGGTCATGTACTACTCTGGGTATTTTCTCATCTGAGAATTACAAAACATATGAGACACCACTGCTTCATGATGTAGTTGCCTGCCTGCACCTAAGCACCACTTTAGTGTTTTCAGACATCAAGCTGGTAACTCACATCTTCCAGAGATGATCCAAGAAATCCTGCTGTTCTACTGAAACACAGCAAATATCTTATTTCTTTTACAAATAATGTATTTTCAAAGTTACTCTACTGCCAGCCATAAATTATGGTTAATCTGAGTGCTAGAAACTACTGAAAAATATGTTAATCTGGGCATTTCTCTTCTAACCCTTTATCAAAGACCAAATGAGAGCAGAGGGTTTTTGTAGTGGCAGTCCTGTTCTAGAACACTGATCCCAGTCCTTGCACTTACTCTTGTGATCTCATTATTAAATTGTAGACAGAAATGCCAAATGATAGGTTTGAGTCTGTGAAATGAGGTCTCATCTATGTCACATTTTCATTACTTTGGTAGGAATATATTGCTTGGTCAGCCCCAAAGAGCAGAAGTGAAAACAGATCTACCAGATCACCTCCGTGCTTATTAATGGCCTGAGACTGCTTTTCCGAGCTGGGCAAATCCCACTGTCAGCAGCAAAGCAAGCAGTACAGTTCTCTTACAAAGCATTTATGAAACAAAACCAAGAGAGTCACTGATACCCAAGGTGATTATCAGTCACTCAGCAAAGAGGCACAGCTATTGCTCTGGATCATGTTTCACCAGGACACACTGCGGCAAATTTTTGTAACACAAATTTTCCACTTAACTTGATGGTAGTTCTACTTGAAAACATAGCAACATAACATCAGGACATGCTGCTGTCTCACTTGAGAACATGCAGCTGCCGATAATGTGGTAAAAAAGTAGTTAGTATCACAAAAAAAGTGAACAAATATTTCCAAACACATCTGGGGAGCAAGCAGATTTTATTGGTTCATTGCACATCAATCCTAAAAATGTTATTCCACTGTGTCCCTAAGAGTGCCTTCAGATATATCGAGATATATTTCTGTATTTACCTGGAGGAAGGGAGCAAGCTTTGGATAGCGGTGATAAATACAAGAACAATAAATGCACACACCAAGTTTGATTTGAATACTTCATCCCGCATTTGAGAATACTAGAATAAAAAAAAAACACACACAGGAAAGTAAATCAACTATTAGCACATGCAGTAGTTTCATTAAGGGTGATGTACATAGGAGACATGGAGAAAATTAGCACAATGCACCAATATATCAATAAACCTGAGTTTTTGCTTTGAAATAAAACCCACCAAATAAATTGTTAATAATCTGGTTAATAAATCTGGTATTTTAGCCAAGAGAGCAACAAATGTGTAATTTGCAATACAAAATTGTTCTGCTTAGTTCAAAATTATTTGCTTTAAAAATCCTGAGGTGAATACCTGGAGTTTGTGCTGCTGAGTAGAGTGTTAAACATTTAATTACTTAATAAAATGCTTAATAACCAGAAAACCCACAAATTTCTTCACATGAAGACAAGCACTGGAGTCATCTGTGACTCTGCATGCATGATGGCACAGAGGTGTCTCCATGATGGCCAAATTGAGGCCACAATGCTATTTTATCTAATTTTCTTTTTTTAAGAAAATTACGTAGTTATAATATTCTGTCACTATTTGGGACGCTGGGATGCTGGAAATCTGTATCCTAACTTACTCAAAGGCTGTGTCCACATTGGCAATATGGGCATTCTCCAAATGTAAAAGACTATTTGAGGTGTCTTGTTATAAAGATTTTTTGAAAAATATTTTTCTTCAGCATAACAAACAACTGAGAATGTTAATCAGGTTCCTTTTTTATGGGAATTACCAAGAAATGGACTAACAGACACATCGATAGACCACAGTGGATCAGTTAAAGTGGAAATATTAACTAAGTCCTCAGCTGTTATTTATCATTGCTAATTCAATTAAACTGCAGCTGTTTACAGCAGATGAAGATTAGTCCATAGGAATATTTTTTGCAATTCTCTATACCCTTTATGGATACCCCCAAGGTTTCTTTGTTTTATAAGAAATCCTGCAAAGGGTTGCCCCAGTCATTTTTCTTCCTCTGAACAATAACTTCATTTTGTTTAAACCTCTGCAGTTTAAAAGGGGCTGAAAAAATGTTTATAAGAGTCAAAGCAATATCAGATACCAGAATCTTTCTTCAGAAATTTGGAAATAAGGAAAACTGCTGTTATAAATGCCTAGAAAGCATTATTACATTAAATAAAAAATAAATTATATTTATATATAAAATTAAGAAATGTGTCAAGAACATACACTGAGAGAGTCCAGCTATGAACTAGATTTCATAACTAATTTGCTCTTGAAGGGAGATCCTAGCTCGACATAGAGGATTTTTCCTACATGGAAAGGCATCACCATTGGTCAGGACATCATCTCAGCTATAAACATCTGGTCAAAACAGTCTCAAGTTCCCAGATGGAAAGAAGTTTTCTCACTTCCCTGCTCCCATTTGTCACGAGTAAGAGAGGGGGCTCATTTGTTGGTGTCCCTCCTCTCCTGTGATTATACCTTGTGTCTGCTGTTGGCAGTATCACTTGGGCACGAGTTTTGATAGTGCTCACAGGTAATTCCACTTCATTTTGCTGCTGGAACCCCAGAGGCACTGACCCTGATTTCATGTGCAAGGAAACAGAACTGCATCTGCATAAATAATGGACTAGGGCTTTTTTGAAATAGGGAAAAAGAAAGGTATGTTCCTTAAAATATAACACGAAATCCCAACTCTTCCGTGGGGAAATTAAGGCAAACTAGATGAATGAAACACAAACATAGAATGGCCTGCTGTGTTGAGCATTATGTCAAAAGGATGGATGCTGTGCTCTAATCAGTAAAAACATTTTGATGAGGAATTGTTGACATCCCTAGGCAGCACTGACATAAATGATAAACGTAGCAGTTCTGTAGCGGTCTGCCCCTTAATGACTTGGAGAAGTAATTGAAGGACTGACTAAGCCTCAAGGCCCTTCAAAAAGCCTGGGGAGGCATGTAGCCAACAGAGCTGTGTAGAATGGTGGGAAGAATCATGATGTGACCTTGTCTGCAGTGAAAATCTTCACTGCAGCATCCCACAGAGCCACCTGTGCTGGTGTGACTTGCTCATGGTGCAGTGAAGGCTCCCATGGGGCTTGGGCCATTTGTCTCACTGCTGGGAGGGAGATGTTTATCCATGTGCTTGCCCAGCCTGCTGGCTGAAACTAAGGCAGGCAGGTTTCTTCTGTTGAGTAATGCTGCTTATTCCTCACCTCTCTCTTCCAAAGCCTCTTTGAAATGGAAGTACCAGTAAAAAGACAGGCTTCACATCTTCCCCTAAAGAAATATTTGTGCACTGGGGAGGAATGTTTTTGGTGTTATCCTCACTGCTGCTCTTTGACTCAGATAGGACCTTATAGATGAAAAGGTTTTTTTCTTCATCAGAGTTATGCTGGAAAAGTTTCTGCAATACAGAAGAAGGATGGAAGAATATGTTTCAAGAAGTCTAAGACAGGAGAGGAAGCAAACTCCTGAGAAGACCAAAGAGTTGACAGAAATCCAGTTGCTGACCAATGTGGAAAAGTTGTTGAAGAGGCAAAGAGTTTTCCCAGTATCTCTTGCAGACCTCCTTGCAACTGGAGTTGAGGGAAGGAGGTGATGCCTGTGTCTGATGAAATACAGCAAGCAGGAAGAGCAAAATTGTTTTCCTACTCATGTAATTTCTATTTATCTTACCAGCCAGAAATTCTGAAACAGAAACTCAGATATTTAGATCTAATATTTGAACTAAGAAAACATGTACTTTGAAATTCAAAGCTCTTTTGATATTTCCAGTGTGCTCACCTCACAGAAAATACGTAAATGTTTCATGTCTAAGCCCAGTCTGTTTTCTAATCCAAGTACAAATATGCAGGAAGACTTTGAATATCCTTATACAAACTTTACATTGGAAACTTTCTTTAATAACTCCTTACCAGTATGTACAATTCCCTGCCCTGTGCTTCTGCTTTACCCTGTATGAAAGTACATGGTATGGATATTTTCACGTTGCTGATATTTAGGGAGATCATGATGATGATGATATATTTTAATTATTGGAATAATCTGAAGTAGTATCAGATTTTCCTATGAGCTATTATATATTTGGAAAGTTTAGTATCTTTTCATGCTACCATCAGAAGTATTTTCCTGTGATGTGAGGCTCTATCTGCCTAGATGCTATTTGTGGGAAAAAAACTCAAGCAAAACTGAGGGTGAATTGTCTCTAAATGACATATCAACTGGTAATGAGTGAAATAGAGGTTAATAATGACTAGTCCATTTTGGTAAAGGATCTATAAAATATAACCAGGTGGGGTCCTGCACAAATCCTGTGAAAAACGAAGTATTGCAGAATTCATATGGAAATACACACGATGCCTCAGAGACATAACCCATTCTCTAATGTAACTGCTACTGCTTGCTGTGGAATGCAATTCTATCACATAGAAGGATAAAGAGCAATGAGAAAAGAGAGGAGTGACAAGATGTTCCAGTGGCCTAAACTGCAGTGACATAGCAGTTATCTCAACCAGTGTAAACCAGGATCTGTGCTAGCCCCATGGTGGTTTTGTTCATGTTGATTCCAGAATTGTTTTGGTTTGTTTTCCTAACCTTTTGAAGTCTTAAAGGAAGAAAACCAGAAATTTCATGGCTAGTGTAAACCTGATATCTGGAATTGCTTTATAGTGAAAAAATTCAAATGAACTGTTTAAACAGACTGTTTAAACAGAAGTCCAGTTTAACATTTCAGATCCATTAATGTCACCCCATGATCCCACATCATGCTAGTCCTGTTACAGGAGGAAGAAATACAGTTTACTGTCCATGTGGTTACTCACTTTTCTGTCATTTGAGGTACAGAACATGAACACAGCTCTCACTGAACAAGGTAAATGAACACTTCTTGGCCAGGATCTCAGCTATGGGGGCTGCTTTTTCTGCCTCCTGTAAAGTCTGACGTGAGAGGCACTAACAGATTATAGAAATGAGTATTTAGCAGATGCCAGTGCTAGCTGAAAGTGTGGTGGCTAAATGAGAGGGCACAAGATTTTACATGGGGGTGTTTACCAGTCACTGAGCTGGGCAGAAGGTGGGTGTCAGCCAAGGGGACAGCAGTGGGAGAGGGGAGGCACAGAGACAAGGCTGACTCAGACACACCATGGGGAGCAGCTCAAGGTGCTGCTGTAGAAAGTCATGTAAGCAGTACCAGGATGTTAATGGCTAGAAAAAAACCCCATAACTCCAGACTGAAAGGTTAGGGGTGGGGGGAGCAGAGGAAAAAGGCTGCTGAAAGATCTTTGTGATACTCTAATTTAAACCTGAGTTTGGTGTGTTTCCTAAATGGACTGGAAGAAGGGAGAAGTGGTAGTCACAAGATAGCATGAAGGAAATAGCTACTTTCTGCAGGAAAATGATTCAAATATTGCTTTTTCCATGACTTCCTGTGACCTATGGTTGAACACTAAAGTTATAAGGACAAACCTGTAATTATTGTACAGGCATGCAGGTGGGAAGGGATATTTCCCATGTTGTCTCACAAGACAATTGATCCTGTCTACAACAAAGAGGACCCTGTGATTCATCTTCCCTCAATCCACATAATTCCTTTGTATCCTGGTATACATCCAGGATTCCCCATCACCATCTGAGCACACTCATGATGTCCCAGCACCCTGAACAGAAGCAGGGATGCTGCTGACCAGAAGCTGTCCAGCTGTTGGAGGTGCACGTGCCAGAACAAATAAAGCAGTGGTGATATTTTTTGAAACTTTACTCCTTCCTAATATGAGAAACCAGATTAATTTATGGAACAGAAGGAAGACTCAGTCAACTTTGCTGGATGGATTTTATGTTTCTATTGTCTGTGCCTACGGGTTGGGACTAACACCCAAGGAAATATTGAATGAAAGGATAATTCTCCGAACACTGCAGCCCAATTCTCCATTGGAAATGTTGTACTGGGAAGAAAATGTATCAAACTTCCCAAAATGTTGACTTTTAATAGACTTTTTTTCATTCAGATGCAATTAAAAACTTTATTAATATTTTAAATCTAACCTATATAATGTGATGGATTAGAGCATGGATCTTCTTTAAGTTCCTTAAATTGCATTTAAATTGAGTTCCCTTATAGTTTCTTTGTGGCTGACAATTCTGAAATCTAAAATAATAAGAAATTTTATATTCTGGGTATGGGATCTGATTCTGGGCTGTGCCTCATTACACCAGCCATGATCAGGCCTTGTGTGATTAAATAGCATAGTGAGGCAAGGTGAACCACTGAAAAATTTGTTCATTCAGCAAGTTGTTTGTCACCAGATTGTTTCCTTCTTTGAGCAAAATATTTCATGTTCATTCACTATATTTTTTTAATCTTGAAAAGATTAAAGATTATTCATGACTTTTGGGACTTTATGTAGTAATTCACATGATATCTGAGATTTTGAATTTTGCTTCCTCTGGATCCCTGTCAGCTTTGCATGATGGCTGCACTGAAATATCCTCATATCTTCCTTTTCAGCAGATAATTGTTTGTGGATAAATTGGTTTTGGGGGTTCTACCTTGTGTCTCAGTGTAAATAGCCTCATTGTATTTTTGTTTTAATAAACATTTATTGTTTCTCCTGTAAGATTACTAGTGCAACAAGGGCTTGCATATACTTCAAGCAGAGTTTTTCTTTCCCAGTTGTCTTGATGAAACTCTCACCAATCAGCCTTCCTGGGGACTAGTCTCTCATGAAGCAAGTAAAACTGTCTGTTTTCCAGTGGAAGTTAGAGTGATGCTGGAGAAGTGAGCCTCCATGCTTCCAACTATTCCTGCTATTTTTATTTCCTTTCAGTCAAGTGCACATAGTATTGCAGACCTGCTGTTGCTGCACTGTCATAGCATATGAAATTATCAATGAAAGTCAATGAAATTATTTGAGATCTGTGCAACCTCACCCTGTGCCATCAGCTTTCAAGGAGTGTTCTCCCATTACCTTATCTTTTAAAACTGATGACTTACATCTGGATGTAGACTGAAAGAGAAGTTAATGAGATCATATTGCTGTTGAGAAGCAGCAAAGACACGAACAATATTTAGCTCTTAGAAACAGATTTTTTAAGAAAGATGTTTACAACAGTTGAAAAATTACTGTTGACTTGAAATAAATATTGCAGCTGCATAGAGGACATCAGAGGGATTCTATGATTAAATAGAAGGATATATATTTTTGGAATATAAATGTCGGTTTATTAATATGCTCAATCATCGTTAGTGCCAAAGTAACCTGTCATCTGACAGAAAACTGCTTGTACTCGATACAGCTTCAACCCGGCCACTGGTTGTTGTTTTCAGAAGCTGAGTTTGCTCAGTGTTCATACTTTCCAACAATGAAATGCAATCATTTCAGCATTGTAACTCCTACATCATGTCACTGTGTATTATGAACTGTAGATCAGCCCTGCCTTCTGAAAACTTAAACAAAATGAAATAGAAAAACAAAGCAAGAAAAAAAAAAAACCAACACAAGCCAGAACCTAAATCTTCTCTACTTCAGTGAACATTTTTTACAATTGGAGTTGTGAATAATGCAGCTACCAAGCCCCAGCTACCTTATGCTCCAGGCTGGAGTCTTTAAACATCAGTGAAAAAGGCTTGATATGCTCTCTTCTCAATTTATCGCCACTCCGTAAGTCGATGGTGTGCTCTATTCGCTTGTTAATTTCCTCAGGCCCAGACTGGACATGCAAAGCTTGTGCAAGATGGTTTGGAAGCAGATTTATTGAATTTCTTGTTAGGGCAGCCAGAGTCTAGGGGAAAGCACATGCAAACAGAATAAACCTGCTGGTCCCCTTGGGTTAAAAATGCAATGTTTTAGTTCATGTTGCATTGCAAACCATTACAGCATTCCATGCAATTCATTCAATGAAATCTACAGAAGTTTAAAATAATAAGTCTGTTCCACTAAACACATACAGTAAATTAAGGGGAGCATTTTAATGCCTTCTTTTTTACAGGTAGGAGGTTTGTTGCTGCACTGAGCATTAGGACTTTATTCTGCTTTCCAAATCTGATATTTAATTATTAAAGCATGCATGGGGGGAGTACACACACCAAAATCACAGCAGGATATCTGACTCAATGGTGTGTTTTAATAAATAAGAATGGGAGCCATATGAAACAAAACCCACAAAACAGGAGAAATTAAGTTTTTCTTATCTCAAAGTTACTGGATGTGTGTAGTTAAGGAACAGATCACTTAGTCAGGAGTGAAGAAGGTGACATTTCTGATTACTTCAGCATGGGCTTTCAGATAATCTTCTTCACTACTGGTATATTTCAGCCAATCTAGATTACAGTTAGGCTATATGACTTAATTTAACTGTAATTCATATCATCATTTAAAATATCATCTCAAATGCATTATTCCTTTGCTATTTCAATGACTAATCAAAGGAAAAAATGACAATACTTTTGCTTCACAAAGGAATTCTAGCAGATATAGTATGAAGGGTGTTTCATCTTCAGCAAAGAGTTAGAGTTTGCTTTCATAAAGAGAATAACTCATTCCCATTTCATTGTGCCATTTCATGACACAAACCAAAGTGAAGCAGCTCTTTCCCACTTGAATGGGAAAATAAACTCTACTACTGTAATATTCCCAAGGATTAAGAAATGTTAATGAATGGAAAGGATGTGAAACTTCATACATCATAGCATAAGACATGTCAGTGTTATTATGGGTGGGAAATAAAACTCTGCCTGTGAAAAGTTATTCCATAGTTCCTTCCTGAAAAGACTTTCAGCTCTGTCTCCTACTGGGCACTGTTGAAGCAGGAGTTTAGGGTGTTTTATCACCAGATGCCCCTGGAAAGCCAATTCTTTTGTACCACAGGATTACATAGGGCAAATGTCAGAGGGAGACTTCCCATGTTGATATTCAAACTGTAGTCAGCAAACATATTCTGATGCATCTTGGACAGCAGATTAAAACACAGGAAGGGTCTCAGGTACCCAATGCCAAAGCCCAGGTGACAGCTGTCCTTAAATCATAAAATCAAGTCCATGGACTCTGTAGTCACAGATAGTGTTTCATATTCCATCTTGTTATCAGCAATTTAAGATCCCAAAATACAGACAGAAGAGTATGTCAGGATTGAAATATTTGTGTTTAAGTGAAAAACAGTTTTCCTGTTTGTTTAGTGGAAAAAGGACTTCAGTAGAGGAGGTTTGGGAAGACACTCTACTGGAATCCTCCCTTATTGTCTAGCAAATCAGTATCATCAACATTAGGAGAAAAAAACAGTATCAAAGAAATTTTTCTCATGCTTAGGGTTCAGATATGTCTGAATTCATATCTTGGCCTTGGAGAAAACAATCAAGGCAAGTGCATAATTGCTATATTAGTACATGCTGTGACACTACTTTGGTTTAAGTACTCCTATCTCTTTTTAAACTGAGATAGGAATAAAAGCTTTTATCAATTTTTGGTGGCTGAAAGGCCATGAGTGTGTCTGAAGTCCCTGTTAAAGGATAAGATCACATCAGATGGTGGTGTGTAAATTGATTCCTCAGAATTGCTTTGTATTTCTGCTTCTACACTGGAAATGAGGGTGGAGAATGTCCCTAATGTTTTTGATGAGCATTTTGTTTTATTTATACAAGAAAAGAATCTCAGTTCATCCTAGTAAGTGACTATATTTTGGTTAAAATTTTATTTTAAGCTGTGATTGATATGAAAATTTCTCTCCTTGCTGAATGTATGAAGTGTTTTACAACTTATGATAGATGAACATGACATAATATCACCACTATGGCCATGGTGTCTGTAGTATTTGCAAAAATAGACTCTGAATTTGCATTTATATTCACAATATAACAACGAAATTCACATTTGTGTTTCATTGTTTTCTCTCCCTTGCATACATGCACATACTTAAGAAAATGGATTCCCTGTATTTAGAAATAAAAACAATGAAAAAACATCATGCAAACTATTGTCTCAAGAATAAGTTCTAACCACATTTTGTCTCTTATCCCCCTCTTTGTTCTGCATCTTTTAAGACTTCTTTATGCAAACACAAAGAAATATTGATTTTTCCTATTACCTCTCCTACACTTTTGTGAGCAGCTCTATAAAAGACAGAGTTGTGAATTCTACAATGGACTTTTGAAGTTTTTTGATGCTGACAATAATCATTTATTATGCAGGAACACATAGTTCTGTTAAAAAAAAATAAAATAAAAAAAGCCTAGCTAAACTTGCATCTGAAACTGAAAGATGAATTAAAACAAACAAATAATAAAACTCCAACTTTACACACATTTTATAGAGTCTTTAAAATGTAGTTTAAATTAGATTTTACTTCCTTCCTGGGGAGTTTTCCTGCAAAAAGTCCAAGCATCCTGCTCTCAACAAGAAGGGAAATTTTAAATCTGTGCTATTTAGAAAACCTTAGGAAGGTTTAAAATTATTTTTTTTTCATACTGTGAGGTTTTGGAAGGAAACAGGAAAATAAAAGGTTACATCTTTAAAAAGCCAGGATGCAGATAGGATTTAGTTCATGAGGAAGACACCTAAATGAGGGTGTCTACAAGTTTGGTGTCTACATGCTCAGTGCCTAAACTTCTGTTTCTTCCAATACATATTCCAGATACTTTCAATTGCCCAATCATGAGTAGCTGTGGTCAGAAGAGATGCCTTAGGGAACTTAGGAATAGTCAGGAGCCAGGAGATGTGGCACAGGACACAAGTGCCACTGGTGAGGACCAGCCGGGGTGTGCTGGGGCATCTCAGCACAGAAATCACAACAATAACAACGGGGTAGCTGAAACACCCAGGTACCTTGGTTTTGATCTGAATTCCACCCTTTTGTTTAGATTTGTCTGTCATCTTGGCAGACTTTTAGTATAATTCCTGGGCTCACTGTTAACCTTCACTACTGAGGCACCCCTATAGAAGACAGAGATTTTAATATGTTGTTTTTCCTAAATCACATCCTGTCAGGCCCATCAGGTGTCTCCACCAGCACATACCATGGCCATGTCATGCTTTCAGCTACTCCTTTTGTAAGGTTATGGAACAAAGCCAGCTTAAACAAACATTAATTCATTCTAGAGGAGGAGCCCTCTACTCTCTTGAAATAAAATAACTTCTGTCCAATTGTTTTTGCTTTAAGAAAGAAGCCCAGACACTGGTTTCAATAACAGAAACCTCTATTTATGTTGGGCATGTCTGAATTTCAGACAAGAGCTCACACCTTTGGCTTACCTCATGACCAGAGCACACAGTGATAATTGGTCTGTAGACAGTAGTAGTTTTTTGTTAATATCTGTGACTGCCTACATAAAAAGTGATTATTCGTTTCTTACATAAACACATTTACAATTCACTGATTCAGGCTGCTCATTGAACACAAGCTTGAGGTAATAAGTATGGCTTGGGATAAATTTGAGTTTGGCTTAAAAACACCCCAGAGATTTCCTTCCTAACATAACTAGAGTTAAAAGTAAGGTACATGTGATCAGTTGCTCAAATTTTGTTGTAATTTAGATTGGGTAAAGAAATAATTTAAATTCTATTGGAAAATATTCAAACTTACAGAGTGATTCATTGCTGGGTTGCTGCTACTACAATTCTCAAAGACTGCTGCTGACAGTGACCTTTAAGGTGCTTAATTAGTGTTATTAAATGCTTATCCTGTCCAAGACTGACACACCTCTGGAAAAAGCTAATGCATCCTAGTATAATTTAAATCTATCATCAGAATTTTTAAACTGAAATACATTATTTATGAGCAATACTGCCTATTGTCTCAACTGTAAATTAAAAATTACATAATAATTGAATCATACATGGGACAGCAGATTTTTAAAATCTTGTCTCCACCAAAAGGCTTATTGTAAAACTGTTTAATATAAAATTATAGCTTTTCCCAACACCAAATTATTTAAAAAACAGTGAGAAACTGTTCTAAAAGTAGATTGTTGCCATAAGTAAGAAAAAAGTTTTAAAGAAACTAATAAGCTATGCCTATTTCAATTATTTCCAAGACCTTTTTACTAGTACTAGGCAGGAGTTGATCAATAATTGAATAAAATCACTAATTCTTTATTTTGTTCTTTGTCTTTGCTAGCATCAAGGTCAGGTTTAGCTGAGAAAATGACCAAAAAAATGAGAGCCTACTCTGCATCGATTTTTTTGGACTACAGAAAGTGGAATATCTTAAAGGGAAAGAAATAGAGAGAGATCAGAAGATATCCACAGCAGCATGCACCCATACCTCTACTCTAATGAAATGACAGTATGCAGACAGGTCAACAAAATACAGAGAATACTATAAGGCAGTGTACATGCAGATACACAGATGTACAGAACATATATAAAACAGGTGTTTTATATAATGGCAAACTGCGCCATGCTCAAATTCACTTTGAAAAGGTGAAGACACTGCTGTGGGCTGATTGATTGTGAAATTTTATCACTTCTGACCACATTAGTAGGAAGCAGAAGGTGGTTGACAAAAGCAAGACCTCCACACAACAATGCTTAAGGTTCAACAGACAGTTCAGACAAGCAGGAATAAGGATGTGCAGCAGAAGAAAGGATATATATTGTCCTTGCAGATCCCTCAAAGAAAATGAAAGAAAACTTCAGCTGACCTTGCTTCATAAAGACTCATCAATCTTTCAAGTGCACTGAGAAAAGTGGAGTCTGAGGGCATTTTAACCTTTCCAACTTTAATTTTTCTAAACAGACAGACTTCACAAAATGATTTTTTTTACCATACAAGAATTGTTGGTTCCCAGGTTGCTGGCAATCAGCCATGCAGTGCTTTTGGAAAACATCTGATCAGGAGAAGTTGCTATTATCTCATATTTCTATTGAGCTACAGATGTCTTTAGAATCTATATCTCATCTGCTAGTGAACTTTAATTATATCTTAGAGTCTGAGTTTTTAATATTTTTGATGAAGAACCTGGTTTCACAAGGTGTTTTTTTGTTCTCTTCCCTCAGATATCAATAAACTACTTTACACTTTTTCCTCTTGCAAAATATCCATTCTTTCATCCCTTTAATTTGATGGCTTTACATGAATCTATGCAATGAGATATACACTCTGACTAGAATGTTCCAGCTAATTTAGTAACACTAGATTTATTTCTAATTACTTCTTTGTGAAGTGGTTCAATTAAAACTAAGCCATGCAGTATTTAATTTCAGTTGGGAAAAAGAAAAAAACAATGAACCCAGAATCTCTGCTTCATTGGCATTTTCCCAGTATAGATACAAGATTTTTTTCTGCCTTGAAACAGTTTGTTCAATCCTCTGCTGTTGCAGTGCATGTTAGAATAAAGGTTAAAGATGAATTTGTCTCCTCTGAGGCCTCCATTATTGAAGTGCACTCAATCATGCATTCATCTCAATGACATTAAAGGAAGTTTGACTTACGTTTTGTTTTCCCACTATGTTATCAAATGGAAGTTCAGGGCTCCAGGATCCTTCAGTAAACGTAGCTCCACTGTTTCTCCTGTCAGAGGAGCTGACAGCCTCTTTCACAATATCTTCAGGTAAAGTCAACAGACTCTCCTCAGGCTGTTTAATTAAATAAGTCTCAATGTTATGTTTCCTCAGGAATTCATTGCGCTCTTTGCCATGCCCTTCTTCAACTTTATAATCCCCATTCAGGCAGTCCAGAGTGGCTTTGGAGATGTGAATCCTCCTGCATAAGTAAAATAAGTAGTAGCAAATACTGATTGGTCTCTACTAAATATAGGTTAGAAGGAGGTTTTTGAATTCTCTGTATTGTTTAACATCATGGATAAATACAAGGTTTTCTATTGTAAACAATGAAGATTAAATAATCATGACCTTTAAATTTAAAATCATGAGCTTTATTTGTGGCCAAATAATCTCAAGACACGTTTACATCAATAAGATGTCATTAATGCACCAAGTCCCATCACAGGAAAAACACTTTGACACTCCCACCTGATACTTTTGCTCATAGTTAATAGTTTAATGGGAGACTATCCCAAGTAAAATGCTATTCTGAATGAAAGAAAATTGTGCTTCAGGGAAGTATGCTGAGAGAAAAATAAATGCTAGGCATTAGAACAGTTTATGTGAAGATCATAAATTTCCATCTGTTTTCTGAGTTAGTTTAAACATTTGAAATTATTGCACTGATTACTGGTCTGATTGCACCTGAAGTAAATTAGGGAAATAAGGGAACTATACAAAGGCAAGCAACATAATAATTTCTATTAAGACTAATCAATGGGTGCAATAAGCTTTGGCCAAAGTGAAGTTGAATTTAAGAGGTTACATGCAAAAGAGCTCAACTTTTGCAATGGTATGATTGGAATTTGAGTGTCTTCCAGCTAAACTATTTTTAAGGAATCTTCAAGTTCCTGTATGCAGGGAAATTGCAGATACCTCTAGAATACATCAGCATGGTCAGCCGTGCTCTACTGTACAATGCAGCATCATGAATGCAGTAAGAGCTGTTCATTAGGCATTTATCTACCCCAAGAAAATAGTTGGAGTGACTCTTTAAACCAGCTCATTTTTTGAACTTTGGGTGTATGACACTTTCTGAAAGACAGACTTGCATAAGGATTCCTAATATTCAGAGTGAGATAAAATTCTTGATCCTTTATTGATGACACATGGTAAGTTGCTTTTCTCAGGCACCACAGTTTGGCTTCCTCCTGTGAAGGAAATGTCCCAACATCCTCCTTGGGAACTTCTTTCTGCAACTCAAAGGATGCCAATACAGAATTAAATTTCTTAATAATTTGATGGAATAAAAAACTATAAGGGCATATGTGATGTATATGCATTGCAAGAAAATAAAGTGCTAGTTGTATTTCAGCAGTTTGAAGTACCCAGGAGTATCAGAACTTGGCACAAATTGTCCATGCAAAGAATTAAATATTAAAATTTAATTAAAAAGATCAAAAAATTGTATCCCAGACATTTTTTAAGCTCTCTCAACTTCCCTGCTTCTTCCCAGGTTTTATACAACTTTTTCTTTCTAAAGTCGTGCTGTTATAATGATCACATGGATTAGTAGTATTTTGTAGTGAAAAAATCAGTAAAACTCATGATAAAACCCAGCAAAAATGTTTCTTATATAAAAAAATATAAGCAACTTTTGGCCTGGACTTAAAGAGCAAAGCATGTAACCTCTCAGAAAGATGATACGTTTCCTAGCACTAAGAAGTCCAAATAGGCTAAATTGATTTAAATTAAATACTAACTTAAAACTAAAACAAAAAAAAGAAAGAGAAAGTGATACACTAGTTGCCAAGGTGACCATCTCTCTCTTTAGATTCAACTATTATAATTTAGGAATGTTGAGTAACAAAGCCCTGAAATACGGATTTTATGATGGATATGATAACAGCTTTAAAGCAGAGTATGGAGAAAGATATTAATGTAATAGATATTAATATAATATCCTTAAATGGGCCAAATGGTAATAAATAGTTGGTAGATTATAAGTATTTTCTGGCTTTACCTTCTGTACTGCTTGCTTAAAAAAATTTTAAATGTGGAGGGATATATTTTAAGTTCATGCAAATACAGTAGATTGGGAACCTGAGTATTGAAGTCAAAAAGCTTGACCTACTCTTGAAAGCATATCAGGCCCACAGTGTTAGATGATACCTGTCATTGAGACATCACTGAAAATTAAATATTACCTAGGATTTATGCAATTCAGTACTGGAGATTAATACCTACATACACTAAGTAAAAACTATTTGAAAATGGGATCCTGGCAGAAGAATGTCACTGAAATAACATGGTAGGATCTTACAAGGTTTCCTTCTGAGGTGTCATGAACACGTTTTTTACCGAAATTGCAATTTTTTCTCAGTTTTCCTGACTGCCTTCTCCCACAGCAGCTGGGCTGTTGGCTTGTGCTCCTTCTGTCAGGTGCAACCTCTCCCTGCATCACCCACGCCGTGGGGCTCAGGGGGACATGCAGGGGCAGAGCTGAGCCCTTTCCTTCCTGCTCTCAGGCTGGGTGAAAGGATGTTTCCCATCTTCAGCTGCCTCTCTCCACTATGCCCTCAGGAAAATGCTGCAGTTCATCTTTGCTCTTGTTTTACACTGTGAGGTGAGAGCAGGACCACTCATAACCCCAGGGCAGCTTTCCTGGTGAGGCTGCTCCAGGAATGGCAATGTCCTCACTATTATAACAAGTGGGGGGATTTGAATGCTGGTGGCAGGGAGAAGTAAGGCGAGGCTGAAATGAACTTAACTGCTCTATTAAATCTGCTCTGCACACTGGGAGACTCTGATGTAAGTCTCTATTCTGAGGGACTTGGTTCACTGCTGTCACATACAGGCTTTGTTCTGCTGGCACACTGATATCCAGGAAATCACTCTGCTCTGACAGACTGAAAACCTGCCAGGCATTTTATCTGCAGCAAGGCTGTGCATTTTCTGGGTTATTCATTAATAGCCATATGACTTGCACATATTAACAGCAATAGACTCTGCTTTTTGCAGGTGTGGATGGTGAAACTTAAATGATCAATTTGTTCATTTGAACAAAGCATCCCCTTAGTCATCTGGGGCTATCACGTGGGATAAGCAGCAGGCAATTAAATTTTTTCTGAAATTCTGTACACGGGTGACATATGCAGAGTACAGAAGCTGTTCTCAGAGCATGCAGAATTACATTTTCTGTTAATTCCAAGAATATATATTAGAATAAAGGTTTACTATGTAGAACTGTAGAAGGGGCCTGCATTTGCAATATATGAAGCAAATTTCCTTCCAATTTCCTGGGAACATGACAGCTCTGACAGATCCTGATGTGTGTGTAGGGAGGACAGCACATGACTCAGTTTTGATGACTTAAAATCTCTGTCATTCAAGGTGACAGCGCCACTTAGACTTTTTTCCACATGAAGATGTCTGCTGCTATTGCTTCTAAATTCAATGGCTAAAATTGGAATTGTCTAGGTGATCTTTTCCACATTTTTCATCAATGGCAGGTTGAACTGAAAGTTAACAGAAGATTCCTGCAATCACTACTGTTAGCTCAAATTTAGGATTTGTAGCTTCCAAACTAGCAGGATATATAGGCCATGTCATGCAGAAATAACATTCAGCTTTCAGGTGAATCAGCCACATCAGACACTCAGACACAGAAAAAAATAGGCTTTTTTTTAGTGGAAAACCACACATTTTCACATATAGACAAGTTAAGATAAATATCTCAAAGCATCTACTAAAGCATCAAATTATTTAAATACTTCCTAGAGAGCCTGTTGTTTACAACAATTTGTTATTAACATATTGACCTATGAACACATAATTCTTCCCACATTTTGTGCATTATGAAATAAAACAAATTATAGCTTTGTGCCTCATAGTATCATTTGAATGAAAAAGGTGGGAGAATGAAGCCTGGAAAATCTCATGAATGGTCAACACCTCACTGGGAAATTTGAGCTACTTCTGAGGACTATGCAGGCTAAAAACAAAAATTGATCTTTTCCAGAAAACCAAGGCTGACAAAGAAATCTAAAGATTTTTGTCTTGTCTTTTCAAATGGCTCTACAAGCTGATCATTTCTACCTTTTTTGGCTACAGCCTCACTAATCCTTACCAACTGCAAAATACATTAAAAAAAGAAAAAAAAAAGGTCATAGTTGATGAAATGATGTAAGAGAGATAATCTCTTGGCAAGGTTAGCAGTGTAATGTGCTGGCAATGTTTTCTGACTGTGGGAAATACAAAGTACACTTTGCCTTACCCAGGAATTCCACCTGACTCGAGTTTGTTTGCAATATCCACGTCCCATGACCAGACATCAAACTGCCACTTTCTCAGGCCCAGCACTCCACACAGAACTGATCCAGAATGAATCCCTATTCTCATGTCAATGTCGTGCTTTGTTCTTGATCTGACATATCTGTTAAACAAAACACACAAAGAAAGAAAAAAAAAAGACTTATGAAAATATATGCCACAATTTTCCATATCATTTTGAAAAGGATATGATGTAAAATACAACATCAATTAGCTGTAAAGTGCAGTCTAGCCTGTAAAATGAAGAGAGAACTTTCCAAATAGAAAAGGTAGAGGTAGTGATAAAATTATTCTAAAAGCCAGGTTATCATTAAGCACATAATTGCATGCATGGCTCAGTGGCACACTTACTATTCCAATCAGATAGAAATGGGAAAATAGAGAGAGAAAAAGGTGTCTGAGTGAAAGCATTTCTTTGGACTTATTGAGTGCTTTAGCTTGGCATTGTAAAAGGTTCAGGAACAGTATGGAGCAGTTAGAACAGTATGGAACAGTCAGGAACAATAGGGACAGTCCAAGAAGAGGAATTTTTTTTCATAAAACCTGTTTATTCTTTTATATTCTTGTATATTTTTTACTAATTTTCAATTTTTATTTTATTGTTATTTTATTGATTGGGATTTTCCAGAGTTCTTTTTGTCAAATGATTTTTTGTTTTCATTACATTTGGCCATTTGCTCTTTCACGACAACCATGTGAGTTTAAAATCAGTTTTGTCCATTCTGTGGGGTGGTGAGGACCATTTCACCTCTCAAAAATAAATACATATGAGCATATTTCTTAGAAGGCTGCTTTTTCATTCCTGTTTGTGTGACAATAATTGTTTGCACCAGAAATGCTATTAGAGTTTGTGTTCATTAATCTTTAAATTCTGAGCTCAGGATAGGAAAAACACATTGCTACTGCTTGTCTACAAACCTGCTGTGTCTCTAAAGGGCCTCATCTCTACAGTCACTGCAGTCAATAGAAACACAGCAAGATCACACCACAGAGCAGGCAAAGAATAAACAGCTCTATTTCACTGCTCTGAAGTTAAGTGCCTCAGATGCCTCAGTAATGACCTTGACAGATCCTCTGTAGAGGAGGAAAGAGTAAATTGCTTACTGCATTCAATTCTTTGGCTTTCATTGTTGCAAGGGAGCATCAGCTCAGTTTGTAAGGGAAAAAAATCCCAAAAAAGTTATAAAATGGAGAGGAACTAGTTGCACAAAAATGTGAAAAAATGGAAATAAGAAATTATTCTTTATTTCCCTTTCCTTCGTACTATAAAATCTGGAGATAGGCAGGCATATGATAAGTCTCAGTGCAGTAGTTAGCCTACAAGACCTGCTTATCATATTGGGAAACCAACATATTTCAGATATCTAAAAGAAAAAGGTTTTAAATAGTTAATCATAAAATAATAAAGAAGAAGCTTTGAGAAGGTATTTATCTGTGTTCTTATATTTACAGCTTATATCTTCATTTACAAATTTCTTCATTGCAAGCAAGCAAGAGGACTTGAAGTATCAAAATTAAACAATTACCTGTCCCTGGAAGATGGGATATACAGCAGCTCCTCCACACTGAGCAGCTAATGAAAATGAGACCACTGAGATTTTAATCTATTTTGAAGAATTTTTATATGCTACAAAAATATCTAAACTGACATTCATAACTGTCAGAGGAATTATCACACAACTCCTCACATGATTGTTTCTCGAGTCTGCCTTTTCCTTTTGTTCAGACTAAGATAATAAAATTTCTAATTTTACATCTGATTTCCTTATCTTGAAATAAAAGATAGTTGTATCTAGAGGAAAAAAAAGAGCAAAAAGCTTTTCACTGAAAAATGCAGTTAATAGGAAGGGCTTAAGTTTAATAAAATATTTTAATAGCCTATATTTATGTAATCTTTCTCTATACTTATGTAGACACACATGCTGTTTTACCAATTTCATTTCTATTTTACCAACTGTCATGTCCTGTGATGAGCAGCTGAAGGCTCTATGGTATGTCTAGTTTAGAGAAGAAGAGGCTGAGGTGTGACCTCGTTGCTCTCTAACAGCTTCCTGAGGAGGGGAAGGGGAGAGGGAGATGCTGAGCTCCTCTCCCTGGGATCCAGTGACTGGATGAACAGGAATAACACAAAGCTACACCAGTGAAGGTTCAGCTTAGATTTTAGGGAACATTTCTTTACCAGAAGTGTGGCCAAACAGTGAAACAGGCTCTCTGCTGAGGTGATTGATGCACCAAGCCCATGATCAAGAGGCATTTGGACAATGCCCTTACCATGCTTTATCTTGAATTGGCAGGCAATTGGACTAGATGATCACTGCAGGCCCTTTCCAACTAACATGTCTTATTCTTCTATTCTATTCTAGTCTAGTCTGGTATAGTCAATTGTATTAATTTTAAATATGGTGAGCTGTGATCTTGTATTTATATTTTATGTGAGAACTAACACACGCAGGTATCACTGGAGAGACCAGGTACAAACAATGGTGCAAATGGGCAATGAACCCCTCTGTTTCCAGAGTGTTCACTAAGGATTGCTGGATTTAACTTTTCCTTTGTCATAAATATGTGGTGATGGCCTGGAGGCTTTGGCCTCCTCCATCACACACACAGGACTTTTGAATTTGTCCAAAACCTCACACAGATGTGCTGTCCTCACCAGCTCCTGCCTGCAGACACTAATCAAGGTCCCCTCCCCCTTGCCTTATCTGCCTTTCACAGTCTCCCAGCAACTCTTTATGTGCAGCTCAGGTGATATTTGATCTCAGCTCTTCATCAGCAGACAGTGGATTTGGCTTCTTGCCTGCATCCTTTGGCTGAGGAACACTCTGTTTCTCTGTCTGCTGCAGTGCTGGTGCACATGCAGGGCTCTGTCTGCATCCTCCTCTTGTCGTGCACAGCAATGTGCTCCTGTGTTGATAGGTGGGAAAATAATTGCAGGAGGGGACCTGACTGCATGAAGTCACAGGCAACCTGGAATATATTTAAAGAGCCCTGTTCAGCACATGAATCAAAGCAGAAGAGTGATCTAGTCTCACTCAAATTACTTGCAACGCAGGACTGAAGCAGAGCTGTTGAGAACCTGCTGTGGAAACAATAATCTTCATAAAAGTGTTTGTTGTAAGATAAATTCTTGAACAAAGAATAAATGGTTTACTTTATTTAAAAATTTCTCTGCAAAACTAAAAAGTTTAAAAATGAGGTCATTTGTTAGTATGTAAAAAGTAATGGAATTATAATTATTTCTTTTATTTAAAATTGGGAATGATGTGGATTGAAAAATATTTCTGTTATGTAAAGAAGGGGACTTAATCATGGTCAAATCCAAGTCCCTAGCAGTCAGGCTACCACATACTTTAGGAGGTCTTGTTTACATACAGATATAGGAAAAACAAACCCTGAAATAACAAAACCTGGATCACCTTCATCAGTAGTGGTAGTTCTAACTTATTCAGAAAAAATCTCAGAAATAATAGCATGTACTAGATAAAAAATGTAGAGATAAAGATTTAGAGTCCATTTTGCAAAAGTTCAGGTATTCCACATCTAGTTCTCTCAAATTTATTCAGCTGTCAATGAAGCTTCTAATTAAAAAAAATGTATTTTCTTCAACTACTTAACAGGCTCTCTGAGATATGTTGACGAAGTGCCTGCACAAAGATGCATTATTGATGATCTATAAAGAAGCCCTCTTTGCCTCACAAGTGCTTTGATATCTTATCCAGGATGAGGTAACTGTGGCTGTTGTTATTCTTGGCATTTATCTCATTTCAGTCTAGCCAGAGCTAAAAAAAATCAATGATTTTAATTGGATCTTGGCATTTCCTTCTGGTCAGCATTCTTTGATGGGTATTTGATTTTTGAGTGTTAATTGAAACCTTTCTTATCTGCATGAACAAGGTGACCCAAAATTCAGAAATTTGCTTTTAAACTTTTTCTGTAGCTGTCAAAAATCCGAATGCCCTGGAATTCAGGCCCTGCTGATAGAGAGTGACACACTGGCTGCTTCTGTGCCAACCAGTTCAACTGTGCAGGGTTATGTCTATGCTTTTAGATACTTAAAACAACCCCAGAATGCTTCCTCATTCTCAACATGGTCATTATCATCCTCTTGCAGGGGAAATAAGAAAGTCTGTGTATTCTGGTTGAAGTAAGTAAGGGTCTTAGCTGACTGCTGTGAGCAGAAGGATGGACAAGTGATCTCCTGTGTCTCCTGTTAACTGAACTCTTCTTTGATCATAAGGTTCAGTTATACAGGGAACATTTTGGTTGGACTTAACAGAATTATGGAATTTTCTTAAAGGAATGCAAATGCTTTTTGGTGCTGACATGACAGGATAGTAGATGAAGTAAGTGTTCTTTTCAGTGTGACTCTGGGAGGTGTGTCATGCCTGTGAAGGAGATATCTCTTATTTTAAAAAGGCTAGGTTAGAGGATACACTAAACTACTGAACACTTTGAATGTGACTTATGCGATATAGCACTTCGTAGATGAATTTTACACAAGTTTAATTCACAATTTAATGTAGGTATTTTCCCAAGGACCCAGTTTAAAATATCACCAGAATGAGTTTGCCTTGGATATAAAACTGGAATCTAATGAAGGCAGAAACAATTACCTGGAGAAGTTTCATATTGTTAGACCTGTCAGTAATATAACAGACTTGTTCTGAGTTCAGACAGAAACTGTAGCTACATGGGCAGAGTTAATACTGCTGCATTTCTCTTTCTTACATCAATCTGCTCTGAGAAGCAGGAAAAAAATACAGTACAAGGGACCACACACAATATTATTAGAAATTTGCTTTCTCATTTGGAAATTATGTTATAAAAATCTATATAATCTTATATATGTATATATAAATATATATATATGTATATATACACTTCTATACCATTTTTCCAATATGGCCTTGACTGTGTTTCATGGTGCATTCAGAGGAAAGAGGTTACAGAAGTACATGAATCTATTCATGTCTACTTGGTTTAGTTCATATCATCACCCAACAGCAAAAACAGGGGAAGAAAAACTATTCTGATATTCTCTCCATTCAGAGTCAGTGGCTGAAATGGACATGTGGAGGTGACAATATGTTCAAGTCTCAGTGAAAAACCTGTATTCAATCTTAGAACTGTCTAAAAGGTGCTGGCTGAACTTGTGAATATATCACAATATCCTTTTCCACCACCACACAGAAATGAAGTTAAGCTTTAGTTTTTGGGTTTGTGAATACATCCTCTCTTCTGTGACTCAGAGCTCATTGCATCATAGGCAGAGCCTTGTAGGTCATAGGAAAAATAATCTGTGGAAGGAATCCAGAACTGGATTAATTATAATGATATATAATCATGTAATTAAATAATTTATTAATAATGGAATATGAAAGCAATTCCTCTCTCCTTTACTGCCTGAATAACTTCTTTAACAAGAATTGATAACTTCATGGTTTTTGTTAGTACTCAACAGATTATAAAAGCAGTTTTTTCATGATAAAAGCAGGAAGCTTGTCAGGGCAGTCAGTCACCTGAAATAATTGAGGCATTTTTGGTTCTGGGCTTTGTTTGGGTTTTTTTAGTTTTCCTCTTTCTCCCTCTCTCATAAATTAGTCTTATTATTAGTACCTAATTACAGACTTTTAATGAAGACAAGCTGTTATCTAATTTCTGGAGTTTGGCCTATATTGCATGCTGGGACCATTTATTCTGTCATAATAATTACTCTTTCAGATGGTTTTTAGTGGGAAATGGTCCAACAAATGAAACAACTCAGGACTCCTTGATTTACCAAACAAATATACTAGCACAAATGTTTGTTTGAATTTCCACTGATATATATACTGTGCCATTTCCATCATTACACTATGAAAGGGAGTCCCTGAGGAGCTGAGTCTCACATAATCTCCCTTCCCCTCTGCTCCCAGTCACAGAGATTTTAGGAATAAGGATATTTGAGAATGGGTGTTATCCCTGACAACCACTTAGCTAGGGTGATAATTGTTAAAATGAAACATTATCATCTGGTGACTAAAAATTCCACTGGAATCTCATTTCCATCAACAGTCAGTAGAGACAGGCATTGATACAATAAAATTAAACACAATGAGACTTATTGCTAGAGGTGAAAAGATGTGAAAACCAGCTGAGTAAAATAACTCCTTGTGAAGAGCTTGTCCTTTTCACTTTAATTCTCGTTTCCAGCTGCAGATAAACAGAATTTACAGATCCTTGGGTTTTTCAGCACATTTGGAATTTTTCTCCTGCCCAAAAGTGGTGGAGCAAAACTGCCTTACTTTAGAGTAAATATCAGATTCCATGGAATCTTCCTGTGGTTAGAAGTTGCCCATCAATTGTTCTCAACAGTTAAAGGAGCAAAGAACAAGAACACAGATTAGAATAACACCGATAGTGCTTCTTTTATGAGATTTTTAACAAAGATTTTAACAAATTAAATGGTCATGCAAAAAAAAAAAATTACAGAGAAAATCATGGTCTTGAATTATTTTGTTGAGTGCTGAACAGTTCCTTTCATCTGCAAAAAGAGCAGTGGAGCTGCGAGACTCAAGATTAAAATCAAGTTGTAGAGTCTCAATTAACAATAAATTAACAATTTAGCTGTATGGATATGAGCAGTATGAAAACACTCCAAAGTCCCTTGTGAGACAACCTGCCCACGTAGATTTATTTTACATGTTGTGCAGTGAATGGATCTGACATTCTTGCTCTATTCCTTTTGACCATGGAGCCATCAAGGACAACAGAAGGAGTGTTCAGCAAAGGTATCCTGAGTTCACAGGGTTTTTGGTGCTGCCTCACCAGAAGGGTTGTACTGATCAGTACAACATTACCAACCTTCTGCTGTCAATGGAGAGAAATGTCTGTGTAACTTCAATGCTCTCAAATCTGAACGATTGCTTCTCATATCTTGGATCATCTCCCTATTATTTTAGACTTCAAGAATATTTATTTTCTGGAATCTTCTGATGAAGATGGAAAATTTTCTAATAATCAAAATTTAACTTCTGTTGCATTTTAAATATGGCAAAATTCTGTGGGGACCAATATGATAAAGAAGCTCACATTTTAAAGAGGGTGTTTTTTCATCTTAATTCTGAGAGATATGTACTTCTTTAATTCTAATTAATAGACTGTAGATAACTCCAGATTCTCTCAGAAATGTGGGCAGAAGTATTTATAATATTCAATAGCAGGATTGGCCCTCCCTGTGAACTGCATAAACACACATGAAGATAAGCAACATAAGGCTCCAACACTTTGAACAGAAAAGCCTGGGGGAAGAACCATCCTCATTGCATAAACAGAAAATCATATACTGAGGTTATCAAATAAATTGGAGATAATCTGAACTGAATTAGTCTGAGATGGATGAGCCAAGTCCTGATGGACTTTGGTGTCACAGCTCTGACCAACTGTTGCTGTCATTTCAGATACAAAAATAGAGCACCATTTCTACTGGATTACTGCCTTCAAGACCCTGTTCATTGAAGGGCATGGGGTGTCACAGACTTCCATGTGTGAAAGGAGATGGAGAGAAATTTACTGACTTAGAAGAAAAAGGGCTTACAATGTGTTGTCTGCGGTGGTGTTACCAAGGAAATGTAAAAGATTGGATGTTTGTATCAAAAAAAAATTAACAATGATGGTACATTTTTTTCATCTCTGTGTTCTCTAATTCATGTTTCCCTTTCACTGTGGGGATTCCAGAAGCAAAGTATTGATTACTTTGCTCATCATTTAGCCCGTGATAATTGAATCCAGCCTTCTTAGATTTCACTGTTAAACAATCATTATTCAGTTACATTTTCCATTTATTAATTTTAGTCAAATTCTTTCTCTATTAAGAGCTCAGTAACGTGGCTGCAGTGTGCATTAACTGTCTGATGTATGTCATGAGACAGACCCAGATAAAAGGGGTAAAGAGATCTGGACAAGAAGCAGACAAAGAGATTGGACAGAAAAATATCCAGGGAAAGGGGAGAATGCTTTTGTTAGAAAACACTATTTTAAGGAAGATAGCAACAGAAAAAGTATTTGAATATGAGAAACTCAGTATTTTTTTATGGATATGTTATATCAGAATAAACCCTTAAGTTTCAAAAAGATGGACAAAACCTGTCTTGGAGTATTATATGTCAGCCAATGTCATGGCAACTCATTGGACAAGCTCTACCCACAGGCTGCTGAAACATGATTATTATTAATTCTAATTGCATCAAAATACAATAATGCAAGAGCAACATAATTATATTTACATGATGGGAACACATTCCTTCATTAAAACACTTCCAGTACTTGTGAATTTAAGCAAGAACCTAATTTAGCAGGTAAAATTTGTTCATCTGGAAAATCTCAGAATTTATGAGTTTGTCTATGAGCTAGTTTCCAAGCTAAAGGATAGCCAAAGCTGTCTATTTTGTGTTTATATTGTTATTTAATTTTATTAAAGGGACTGTAGGAAGAAATTCAGACTCCTCCTCTTCAGTCTCCTCTTAAAATTGACAACAGTACAAAGTGAGAACTGCCAAGAACTGTGAAACCTCTCAGTTGCACACACAGCTATTGTGTTACATCTCTGAAGTAACACAGGTTAATAAAATCATTTTAGTAACTGTTCTCATGCATTTCATGGATAAAAAAATCCTGCATTTTCACAGTGATAATTCTGAGGTTTTTGAACCAACAGAATAATTACTGGTGTAGCAATAGCATTCTCAGCTAAGAAGTGCAGAACTCTGCCAGAAACAAAGAATCAGGGGAGAAAAAGGCATTACCTGATAGTTTTGATCATGCTGAGCCCCATTTCAACACAGCAGTGTGCATGGTCCTGGCGAGGTTCTGGGAGCCCCGACACACAGTAGTAACAATCCCCCAGGATCTTTATTCTGAGACAATGATGTTCCTATGCACAAATGTATCAAAGAGAAAGAAAATATTTGCATATATATTCATCATTTTAAGGTGAAAGTAAAACTGGTTGAAGAATACTATTAAAAAACTAACCAACCCCCTGCCTTATTTCTGGATGTTTCCTGCTTGTCATTAATATAATTGTGATTTATATTACTAGTGAAATAAAGTACCTTTACATTTCCAGCAAAAAGGGGTATAGTGATTTTTCTTTTATGCTAATCAGAGACATCCTTGCTGATGGGGAAAAGGTTTTATCAGAGCTAGGTGGAACATAGGCCAAGGATTCAGAAATGCCAGCTGAGATAATGAGTAACCCAATTTAGGTTATGTTCCTCCAGGGCATGTTTTCCTGCCCCCTTTTTACATTGGAAATAAATGAAAAACCTCTTTCCTCCCACTGAAATCCCTTCCCACCTAAAGTTTCCGTGGTCACACTCAAGTATTCCCAGCAGCTAAAGGAACTGATTAAGTATCTGCATGTCAAGGATCTCAAAGAAGCTGTCTTGAACCAGGCTCATGCTGTAGGGAAAAGATGATTCTTTGGCATCCAGCTAGAGACATCTTTTATCCTATGAGCAAATAGTGAATTTAATTTCTAAAATACATATTAACAGTATCATTGCATACTGAAACACAATATTTTGTGTGATTTGATCATTATTCTAGATCCTTTTCTAGTGAGCAGAAATACGTGAGTTGGTGAAATTTTGCAGTTCCCAGACCAGCACATGTGACCAAGATTACCTGTAAATTTGCCCAGTGTATTCTGCTGGTTGGGCCCTCACAGAAGGCAGTGCACAGGAACAGAGAACATGACAAGTTGTTTCAAAGAAGAGTTTTTATGATGGAGAGTCATTGAAATATTGAGTGTAGTATTAATAATCAATCAGTAAAGGCTGCAATAAAAGGCCTTTAAAAATAAAAATTTAAGTAGGATCTAGGAGCAAATGTGAATGCTGGTTCTCTCAGGAATCAAGTACAGGCTCCATTCAAAGTTTGCTTATGAAGAACAAAGCTTTGAAGTCAAACTCAGTCAAGCTTTGAACCACCCTGGAGTGGAACAAGAAATCTACACACTTTTACCCAAAGCTTTTTGTGAAGTCAGCTGAAGCCTTAAGCATGCCAGCAAGATCTTCTCTGGGCACATGGCCAAAGTAAGCTGATTCACCCTAAAATCTCCTTAAACCATCAGTAGAAACTGTGTTTGAAGTTTTGGTTAAGTCTCCAGCTAAAACCAGTGCTGCCTTTCAGAGTGCAGTGCTTTGCTATCCAAGTTTCACACAAAATTCCAGACTGAACTCAGGCTTCTAAAAGGTCAAAATTCATATGTGACTCTCCTTTTTCCTCAACTCCTTCTTTTCAGCTCCTCTGCAGAGCCACACAAGAACACTGGAATTTTTCATATGGTTTCAAATGAAATTGTGCATCCTAAACCCCTCCAAAACTATTTTTTTTTAAAAACACTTCCCCCTCAATGGAAAGAATTAGGGATCTGATTTTACCACATTTTCTATCTACTTTTTTAAACTAAAGAGTGAAACTATGAAATAGAAAAGTTAATTGATGAGTAGGTAGGACTGAATGGCATAAATCAGTGCACGTCAAACAGTAAGCTCCTTAAGCTTCTCTCCGTGCTCTTCATTTAGACAAAATGCAAAGAGATGAAAATATAAACCACAGATTCTAGAGTTCTTTGGCTTTTCTAAAGGTCTCATTCAATTGATTTTTCCTATAAGTGATGTTTTCTTTTACATCTACAAAGTAAAAGGATTGTGTAAAATGTCATATTGGTTTGACTGAGGTGGAATAAATCAAAAGGCAGCACATTAACTCTATTCAGAGCCACTACAAAGACTTTACAAATAATAACCTCACAGTAGAATAGATAGGAAAAAAGGGAAAAATGGTCAGTTTTTAGAAAAGAAAGAAAGACTGGAAGAAAGAAGAAAGGTATATCTCAAGTATTATTTTATTTTAATTTTTTAATTACATTTTTAAACTTTTACATTATACCTATCTGATGCTATGGGAAACCCCTATTAAGTGAGAATTTATTTCAGCACAGTTAAAGACTGTAGTCTTCAATAGGATAAGACTGTTGTTTGATTCTTAATGCCTCACTTAAACTGGCTAAAGTACTGATTCCAGTAAATTCAGATGATGCTTATATCACTTTGCTGCATGTCTGAAATTCAGAATAAAGCAGACAACTTCAGAGGGATGTGCTTTCTGTAAGAATAAGACCTTAATTAGCAAGATCTGCTAATGAGGGTCTGATATAAGCAAGTGTGAGTGCATGTGTGTGACACAGGAAATGCATTCAGCTACTCACAAATGTTTTCTTTTTCTTGTCATGTGGTGGCACCTGACTCCTTTGCCAGAGCTCAGGAAGTGCTCCAGGAGTGCCATAGCCAAGAGGGGGTGACGGTGTTGGGTGTCCCCATGCCAGCTAGCAGTGGAGCTTGCCATTGCAGCCCAGGGAGAGCCAGGCAAGGCAGGCAGGGAAGCCTGGGGACAAATTCAGCTCACAGCTAAAGCAGTTGGCTGGGCTGCAGTTCAGCTCTCTGTACCTAAACTCACCATGTATCTGTAAGACCCTGGGTATGTGAAACACCCACACAGGATTAGCAAATATCACATAAGATTTATGTCCTGTGGAACATTGCAGGGGTCAGGCAAGGTGTCTCTACTGGCACACAAAACCACAGGGAGCTTTTAAATGACTCCTCGTCTTCCTATTTTTTTTTTCCCCTGTTAATCAAATTATTACGGCTGCTAAAGGTGATCTGTGTTTCAGCTTGACTACATAGCTTTTGCATTCTTTATTCTTCCCTAATTATTCCCATCATACTCATTTCAAAAGTAAATTATGGGCTTTTTATCACTGGAAATATTTCATCTAGAGGAAGATAATTCAACGACTCTCAGGAAGGACGGGGGCTAATGGTATCTGCTTTTGGCAAAGGTGAACTGCCTGGTCCTGAGAATCCCTCAGATAACTCGGCAGCTTAATCACATCTACAGTTTAGACTCAAAGCCTTGTCAGAATGGTTGTGTGAGAACATTAAGGTTAGATTCATGGACAATGTGGGCACCCATGCTCTAGTTTTAAATCAGAGACTGAGTTTTGCCATTTTATACCACTTTATTTTATATAACTTTTCAGTGGTATAAAAGGATATTAGCAGCAATCAAGATTTTCCTCACACTGTAGAGCTCAAGCCCACTTCCCAAAATCACCTCACTGCAATGGATCTAAGAGTGAAAAGCTGATATTCAATGAAAATGAATGAAAAATTTAAATATGTATGAAACTGTACAATGAGTTAATTATTTAAATAAGAGAAAATTATCACACAGGAACTTTGATACAGGAAATATTTTTCACAACAGTTTTAAATCCTTACACTGTTGTGAGGCTATTAATTTATTCTATTCCTCTTCCCTTTTTCACAAGCAATTCTAGAAGTTGTCCTCGGGCATGTATTGTTGATATTATACAGCTATTCACATCAGAATCCATCAACCTCCTCCCTTCTAATACTCACTCATTAATAGCATTAATTGAAGGGATTAATTAAAATCTCAGCATGTCACAAATAGGGGCTCTTTTCTCCCCTTATTTGAAGCTTTTCATTTGCTACAAGTGGAAGATTAAGGGGCCTGATTCTGCCAAGACAATTTAAATCAGAGTTTTTGCCTGGGGAATTTGAACAGACTCAAACACCCAACTATTTTTAATAATAATTCTAGATTAATTCAGTGGCAACTGATAAGAAACCTTTTTCCAATTCCTAAATCCAGAGAAAAAGAAACTATACAGATTTTTCATAAATAATTACCTCGTATGTGGTGAATGATTTATGTTTCAGCTTATTAAATATACCCCTAGTGACTGGAAAGGAAACAAAGCAAATTGGCATAAGGTGGAGCTGCTGAAATGAGTTACTCAAATATCAAGTTACTGAAAGAGTCAGAGACTTCATCAATATTTCTTGTTTCCTTGGGCTAAATTTCTGACAAGGGAAAAGAAGTGATTTTGTTTTATAAGCTATGCCATTTTTCAGTTCTGCCAGTGCTGAATTAATCATTTCACCTAATTTTGAAGGGAAACCCATAGGATAGCAAATAGACAACAGAAAGTCAAAATTTTTTGTGATATTTACAATTTCAAGCTAAAAGCTTAGAACATTGGGGAAGAAAAATTACTGCAACTGAACTACAGAACAAAGAGAAATCATTCACGTAAGTCTTCTTTTAAAAGGCAACCACAGGGGGAGGAGGCAGGGACTTGGCCTTTGTGTACAATAGCTCAGTTCCTGAAACATGTGCCAAAGGCAGAGGAAATCTGGATAAACCTCATTTGTCAGCAAGAATGGGGGCTAGGCCAAAGCTCTTAACCAGCAGTCTGTTTTAGGGTGGGTTGGCGAGACAGATCCATCCAAATTCCTTCTATTGCAGCTCTGTCATTCTGGAAAACAGAACTGGGACCTTGAGAGGTGGAGGGGGGCTCTCAAGCCAGGTCATGCAGGCAAAAAGGAGAATATGGTACATAGTTACAAAGATTGTTTTTGTTTTTTATACACATAAAGAGAAAAAGATGGCAGTCTTTCTTTTGCCTGAAGTAGGGAATACATAAGTATGGCACCTATATTAAAAACTTTCTACATATTTTAACATAGCTTATAAGGAAAATGTTTATTTTTCCTTTGGAATAACTTATAATGGGGTGGTTAAAATTTCTCTGTGTTGCCAGAAAAAAGTAGGTTTGAGGTCTCTCATGCTGCAGAAGGAATAGAGGTACGTTGGTGAAAAAGTTTTTTAATATATTATATCAACAGCTTTGTTCTTTGACATACTGTAGAATAAAACTGCTATGCCTGTTGTGTCTGGTGAGGAATTTGCCTCACCAGCTTGTGTTAATTATAAAACTGTGCTTTAAGTGATTTGAGGGACAGAAATCCCCATGAGAAAGATTCAGGCAGGAAC